GCTACTGTTGCTAGAACAATTCAAGCTAGTGAGAAACTAGCACACAACCCAGTTTTGGTCAAAATAGCTACATTTAGATTGAAGTATTCATATTCAAAAGGTATATATTTTGTAAGTATGTGAAACCGCATACTGTTAGGATAGAGTGGGTATAGTTTTTAGGTCACAAAATGTTAGCATGTTGGCTAATTTGTCATCACATCCAACCTTCTTATTTTCATTTAGCTAGACCAACAGTCCAGTACAGTGGAGTAGCATTTTGAACTGGAAACTCAACATATTGTATTGAATCCAAACTCCAATCTAAATTCATCAGATTGAGTGGGATTTTTACCAAAGCTTGCCCACCCTCATACCCTTGTACCTACAAAAGAACACGTTTGTGGCCGGTACCTGGATAGGACAATTACAGACTGTAGCCTGCTCAGTTTATTAGCCTCCCTCTACCCCATTCATCACTGGTGGGCTTCTGAGCTCAGGACCACTGGTGTCCAGATATTATTTATGTGGTGATTCATTCTCAGCACAGCAGTGACCCTAACATGGTAGTGTGTGTGGTGCTGGTACAAGTGTATCAGCGGTGTTGCTGGGTTTTTATATGTGCCAGTGTCACTGCTAGGTCGACAGTGGACCAGTACCCGAAAAAACAAACCAATAGAGGCTCTGTGGTTAGAAAGTGACCACTAATGAAAGACTACAGGATGGCTAACGCAAACTGCATCAACAGATGAGCCTCAGTCTCTAAAGAGAGGTTTTTAATAAAGTGACCAGTCAGTGTAGCATCATTTCTCTTGTCCTTTTGCTTGGTTGTCATGACTGAGTATTGTTCTCATTATAATGAGTAATGATAGCACACCATGGGCAGTGGACTCAGGCCACTACCGAACACAGCGCGGGGGGCAGTCCAGTCTAATAGCCTCCACTAATGACAGGCTTGCATGTTGAAGCTGTCAGGCAGTGTTTCTTTGGCAGCGTCATTGTGAAAGAGATTCATTCTAACAGAGAGTGTAATATTTCCTGCAGTGAAATTAGGACAGTCCTGTGGAGAGGGATGAATTTGGCTTGATTAGCACCAAATTAAAGCGATTGTTATCTCAAAAAATCTAATTTTCACACTTTGCACCCTTATCTAAAATGTAATCAATCAGTCAAGACATGTTTAGTGTCTGAGGTTTGCTTCTTTAGTTTTGCACTGGACCAACAAGCTAACTGTGTTAATGCAGTTAGCTAAAACAGATAAAAAGAGTCGCAGCTTGTACTAAAGCCTGAAGTTTGTCTTTCCTTTTGTCCATGTTTATTGATAACAGTGTGTCATACAGTGTCAGAAACGACATAATTAAGTCTATTAGAGATTATTTAAGGACTCCACACAGTGGGAGGCAAGTGTTTGATGACGTAGACATGCAAGTAAGCATGATGCTAATTGGTTCCTATACTTTCCAATTTGAATTTATTTGTATAGCACTGTAACAACTTTTAATGTTGGGAGGAGTGAGGACACGGGGAGCAGGTGTGGAGAGCTACGTTTTATTTATACACAACACAAAAACCACTTGGCTTTTCTGATAAATTAAGACAAGACGCTCGCTAGGACTTTTCAGTCTCTTCCTTTCTTTTCTTAGCTTAGCTCAGCTTTGCTCTGCTCTGACGTCTCCACCAGTCTCCTTCTCTCTCTGGGCTCTGCCACCTACTGAGGAAAGAGATGGCTATAAGTAAGCTGGCAGAGACAAGGCACAGGTGAATATCATCAGCTACTTAGCCCGCTGGTTCAGCCCGACCGGCTCTTTGTCCTGCATTTGACGCTTGGCCATGCCCCCTTCTCCAGAAGCACGTTTTCCAAAGAGCATTTGCATAACTTTGACCAATGCCAGAAGGGGCATGACAGTGCTTTTAAAGTGAAACCTTTCAGCGACACTGTTTTTGAGAGTAGTTACCATCATGACCCTATTATGAGCATGCTTCTAGTGCCATGATTCTCAAAGCAAGCAGAATAAACTCACACGACATGCTGCTGGTATAAAAAAGCTTTAACATGGTCTGTTTGCATTTCATATTCAGTGAAAATGAGATACATCAACACTGACATTTAATAAATCCCCAAAAGAGAGAGTAAACTATAAAAATAAGCTAGTGAATTTTTAAAAAGGTGAGAAAATGGCATTTCATATGTAAGAACAATATGTAAACATATATAAACATGCATAAATGTATGTATGTTTGCATATGTATAAAATCCAAGGAATTTTACATGTGTTTCATTGACTACAGCAAAGCTTTTGACTGTGTTGACCATATACTATTATGGAATGTTCTTAAGGAAGTGGGTATAGCAGATCATTTCATTCTAATAAGGAACCTCTACACTGATCAACAAGCCACAGTCATGACAGAAAATGGACAGACTGGTTTCTTATTTGTAGAGGAGTTGGACACGGCTGCCCACTATCACCATACTTGAACATGTTATGATAGAAGCAGGACTGGAGAAAGATGACCAAGGATTCAAGGTTAGTGGACGAAACATCAATAACCTTCAGTATGCACGTGACACAACACTCATAGCGAAAAGTAAGGAAGACCTAGAGGCTCTTGTAAGGAAAGTAAAAGAACAGAGTGAAGAGGTGGATCTTTTGCACAATAAGAGGAAAAGCAAAGTGTATGACAGTGAAAAAGACCTTTACTATTGATGGAGAAGACATAGAAGTGCTGGACAGCTTTTGCCTACTACAGATATTAACAACAAAGGATGCAGCAGTCAGGAAAGGTGACACAGACTGTCACAGATCAAGGATGAAGGAGTTTGAAAAGATCTTCAAACATAATGATTTGTCAGCACAACCAAAGTTCAGAATTGTCCAGGCTGCAATCTTTTCTATGGTTCTTTATGGATGTGAATGCTGGTGTAACAAAGCAGGACAAGAAAAATATTGATGCCTTTGAATTTTGGTGAAGGTGAAAACAGCAAGAACACAAACAAACGGACCCTCAACCAAATCAAGCCTCACCTCTCACTCGAAGCCCAGATAACCAAACTGAAGTTGTCTTATTTTGGACAGAACACATTTCAGAGTCACATTTTAAGTGGGAAATTATGTTATTATATTATATTATGTTAATTGTTAGTATTAAATATAAATATAAAATATTGCATTTATGCTGTTATTTTATTTCAATTTTAAAATCTGTTTAATGCTTTGCAAAAAATACCACTGACACACTTTTTCTGACCAAATTTATCCACTGGTTGATCATTTAATAGTGTTTTTTTTTTATCTGGTCATGAACAAAAACAAACGTGGCAGCTGGCGAGACAAACATTCACCGCCTCTGAGACCAACCAAAACACTGTTTCTGAATGGTCCTGTGTTTATTTCATGTTTTTGTATGTGTGTCCTTTGAGAAAGTCCCTCTTGTTAAAAGTAAAGAGAGAAAAAGAAGATATTTATTTATCAAATTTTGAGATAAGGTTTAATGTCCAGTAATCTGGACATTTGGACTCAGTGTAGTAAGGTTTTTTAGGTTATGTTATTTCTGAAACACAAGTTATTGTTGTCTACAGCACTGCGCTGGTGCATAAAATGTATGTAATATGTTTAATATTGCATATAAATCTGTGTAAAGTGTAATGTGGCTTATGTAATATTTTCTGGCATTTTTCTATCAGTGTTCTCAATAATTTTAACCATTTGTTCATCTTAGATATAGTAATGTAAATCATGTGTAGTGTAAATGCTTTGTGTTAAAAAGCTTTGTTTATTATTATGATATAACATTATTCTGAAATTTGTTTAATATTTTAGGAGCCATTCATTTAGATGTCCAGGTAGTTCCACAAGTTCAGAAACATTTTCATGCAACTGTACCTACAGTAAAAATCAGTGGTTACTTTGTGTCTTATTATGTTGGTGAGAATAATGTTCAGTGTACTAGACACTGAATATTATTTGTTTCCCAGTAAACAAAAAAAGTAATTCTTGTATTTTGTTATTTAGAACACAGTAGAGAGTATGTTTCATTACAAAATATGCACAAGGTTGAAATACTTCAGTATCTGTGAAGTCAGTGGTGTGACATGCACAACATGACTAAACATCACTAAAACTAACATTCAAGAGGAATAATTTAATAGTTTTTTGTTGATTAATTTATGAGTAGAACGAGCAATACACAGACATCAGCTTTCTGTAGTTTTTCATTTTAAGCTTTATTTCATGTTTTTGAGGTACTTTCGCTACCACAGTTGTAGAATGACCTTGATGAAGAACGCAAATGAAATTTAAATCCATGGTTGGATTTTCAATTCAGTTACTTGTTAGCTACATTAGCCTCAAAGCACCGAACCTAAAGAAGAGAACATGTCTCGGCTGGTTGACTACATTTGGGCTAATGGGGGAAAATGTGTAAATTAGATTTTTTTGCCAAACTGCTCCTTTAACTGAGAAGAAAATAGATGCTCTGCTGCCTTCTGGGTTTAGAGATGCTCCAGCACAAGCCGTGTTTTTGTGCTTTTTGCCATCACACTGAGCAGAGACAGAAACACTGATGTAAATCTGCTTTGTTGTGAAGTGTCTAAATCGGGTGGCAGTTTGAAGTATGAGATGGGTTTATTGACAGCATCTCATTATGGAGATATCAGTCACAGTAATACGGCTGAGATGAAAGAGCTTGGTGACTTTGATACAATCCTAGAGCTGTTGATGAAATATACACCTGTAAATGATCCAGATGTCAGCCGTGTCATGAATGAAATGATGGATCTACGGTGCTGTTTGTGGGAGAATAATATGTTTTTGTCAACAATGCTCATTTACAGGGTGCTAAAGTCTTGCACTCTGTACGCCGCCTGTCAAAATGTTGTGGACATCGTGCTTTACAAAATGTTTTTAATACAAACAAGCATGTTTTTGATACCGATATGCAGTAAATTAATATATTACAGCTGGTTGTTTAGAGGAAAACAATGTCACACTGTATGTGTTCTCTTCCTCTCTCTTCCTTAGATCTACCTGCGTTTCCTGGATTACGAGATGCAGAACTCTAATGAGTGTAAGCGTAATTTCGTGGCGGTGTATGATGGCAGCAGTTCTGTGGAGGATCTGAAGGTGAAGTTTTGCAGCACGGTGGCGAGTGACGTGATGCTGCTGACCGCGCTGGGAGTGGTGCGCATGTGGGCGGATGAGGGAAGCCGCCGCAGCCGCTTCAAAATACTCTTCACCACCTTCCAAGAACGTAAGAACAACCACACACATGCACAAGGACATGGTATATACCCCTATGGAAATGGGTACCATGGAAATTGGTGTAACCATAAAAAAGGGGTGTAGCATTACAACAGAAATGGTTGTAGCATAACTGTGAAAATGCATGTAACATGAAGGCAATTGGTGTAGCGTAACCATATGTAACCATGGAAACTGGTGTAGCATAACCTTGAAAATGTGTGCAGTGTAACCATGGAAATGAGTGTAACCATAGAAATAAGTGTAGTGTAACCTTGGAAACTGGTGTTGCGTAACCATTTAAATTGGTGTAGCATAACCACAGAAATGGGTGCAATGTGACCATGGAAATGGGGGTCATAAACCCTTTGAAACATGTGGCGTAACCATTTAAACTGTTGCAGCGTAACCGTGAAAATGAGTGTATCCATAGAAATAAGTATAGTGTAACCTTGGAAACTGGCGTTGCTTAACCATTTAAATTGGTGTAGCGTAACCACAGAAATGTGTGTAATGTAACCATAGAAATGGGGGCATTGAACCCTATGAAACACATGTGGCGTAACCATTTAAATTGATGCAGCATAACCGTGGAAATGAGTGTAACCATAGAAATAAGTGTAGTGTAACCTTGGAAACTGGTGTCGTGTAGCCATTTAATTGGTGTAGCATAACCATGGAAATGGGTGTAATGTAACTGTGGAAATGGGGGTAGTGAACCCATTGAGACAGGGGTGGCGTAACCATTTAAACTGATGCAGTGTAACTGTAAAACTGGGTGTGTCATAACAACAGAAATGGTTGTAGGATAACCCTGAAAATGCGTGTAATGTAACCATGGTAGTTGGTTTAGCAGAACCGTAAAAATGCATGCAGCATAGCTATGGAAATGGGTGTAATATTATTATAGAAGATGGGTGTAGTGTAACCCTGGAAATCGGTGTAGCAAATCAGTGAAAACAGGTGTGGCATGCTCTTTCAAACAGGCGCAGTGTAACAGTGGAAATAGATGTAATGTAAGTATGAAAAAAGGTTAGAGTAACCGTGCAAATAGGTATAGTATAACCATGTAATTGGGTGTAGGGCCCAATCCTGGTGTTGGAGATCTGCCACCCTGCAGATATCAGACCAAACACACCTGGCTGTAATATTTCGGTGCTCCTGAAGGCCTCAGTATCTGAATCAGGTGTGTTAGATTAGAGTTGGAGCTGAGCTCTTCACGGTGCTGGATCTCCAGGACCAAGACTGGGCACCTCTGGTGTAGGGTAACCATAGAAATGGGTATAACTACCATGGACATGAAAAAATGGGTGTTGCGTAATCATGGAAACAAGTGTATCTCATATTTCAGTGGCGTGGTTGTATTTTAGATTTTTATCATTCAGTTTAAGTTTTGTGTACTACACCTGTGCACACACACACACACTTCTGACCAGACCCTAAGCCGTGACATGTGGGAGATAAAACATTTCAGCTATAGGCTCTCTGGCCGTCTTTACATGTGGCCATTAAAATGCACTCCTCCATTAAGCTGCTGGTGTTTATGGTCTGCAGTTGGCTGGAGGCTGAAATGAGCTACAGTGAGTTTAATGATGGTTTTTTGCTGTGAAGGTGTTCTTATAGCATCTTATAGCCACTGCTATATATCCACTGGTGTATATCCACTGCTGTATATCCACTGCCATATAGACACCAACACCAGCCTGTCATTAAAGACAAAGAGGAAAATAAACAACACACCAAACAGCTCACCGAAACACAGTCAGCTTGGCAGGTTTAGTGACTGAACCCTACAATACAGAGGGAAATTAACAAGGTGGCATGAGGCAGCTTTCTTTCTCTTCCTCTGTCACTCTGTCATTCTTTTCCCTGTCTGTATATCTGTCTATTTATCCCTCTGTTTTTCCCCTTTTCCCTCTATCTCTTCTCTCTCCTGCACCTCTGTCTCTATCATCTTTCTCTTTCTCACTCTTTTTCTCAGTATCTCCACCTGCCCTCATCCCCTTTTTTCTGTCCTCTCTCTCACCCTCTCTCCCTCTATTTTCTTTCTCTTCCCTTTCAATCTCCATCATGTGCTCTCTCTCTATTTCTCTCAGTGACCCCTCTCAATCTCTCTCACCCTCTCCCACCCTGTTCTCTATTTTCTCTCTCTGTCTCTCTTGCTTATGTTTGTTTTTGGTGTTTTGATATCAGTCTGCCTGTTTCTCTTGTCTGCCCATTTGTTTGTGTTTGTTTGTTTGTTTTAATACAGCTCGCCCTGTGTTGGCCGAGTCTGACCGCTGCTGACTGAACTCTACTAAATTGAATCAGCATATATCCGTCTGCAGGACGCAGAGAGAAAAGAGAGGGAATGTAAAGGTGTTGTTTTGGAGAAGAGAGAGAGAGAGAGAGAGAGAGTAGAAAAAGGGTTCTATGTCAGCACGCATGAAACCATTATTGTCTCTCTCTCTCTCTCTCTCTCTCTCTCTCTCTCTCGTCTCTGACCGCTACACGCTTCATTACTGTTACTATGGTATCCCATAGCAGCGGCCAAAATAACAGAAACATGCCGGTCGTGTGTGTGTGTGTGTGTGTATGTGTGTGTGTGCGTGTACAGTGAATGAACACACAGGATGTGCTGTTGCCGGGGTAACACTCCTGCACAACTCTCTCAATCTCTCCATCATGTGCTCTCTCTCCTTTTCTCTTACTCCCCATTTCCTCCTCTCTCTCTCTCTCTCTTTAAATCTCTCCATCATGTGCTCTCTCTCCTTTTCTCTTACTCCCCATTTCCCACTCTCTCTCCATCCCTCTCTCTCTCTCTTTAAATCTCTCCATCATGTGCTCTCTCTCCTTTTCTCTTACTCCCCATTTCCAACTCTCTCTCCATCCCTCTCTCTCTCTTTCTTTAAATCTCTCCATCATGTGCTCTCTCTCCTTTTCTCTTACTCCCCATTTCATACTCTCTCCATCCCTCTCTCTCTCTCTTTCTCTCTCTTTCTTTAAATCTCTCCATCATGTGCTCTCTCTCCTTTTCTCTTACTCCCCATTTCCTCCTCTCTCTCTTTCTTTAAATCTCTCCATCATGTGCTCTCTCTCCTTTTCTCTTACTCCCCACCCCCCCTCTCTCTTTCTGTCAATTTCTCCATCATCTGCTTTCTCTCCTTTTCTCTTGCTCTCCATTTCCCCCCTCTCTTTCTCTCAATCTCTCCATCATGTGTTCTCTCCTTTTCTCCTGCTCCCTATTCTCTCTTTTTCTACTGCTCCCATTTCCTCACTCTGTTTCTCCTGCTCTCTTTTTCCTCTCTCTCTTTCACTGTCTACATCTCCTTTTCACCCCTCTTTTTTCTCTCTCACTAACTTTCTTTCTGCCTTGCTCTCTCTTTCTTCCTAACACTTTCTCCCATTTTCCACTTTCTCTCTCTCTCTCTCTCTCTCTCTATATATATATATATATATATATATATATATATATATATATATATCTCCATCATGTGTTCTCTCCTTTCCGTCGCTCTTTCTCCTGCTCCCTTTTCCCTTTTTTTCTATCACTTTCTCCGCTCTCTTTCCCCCCCTCTCTCCCTCACTCTCTCTCTGTTTCACTCTCTCTCTTCAATCAAAAAAAGCACCACAGCTCGTTTTCCCAAAGTGTCTGTTAACACTGTTCTGCTGTCATCCTCAGCTTTTTTCTTCATTATTCTCTCCATCCTGGGGATATTAAGAGCGCTAAGTGACGTCAGTCCATTTTAAGCAAGCCATCAAATGTGACATTTTCTACATATTTGATATTTTGCTTTGAAGATTAAACAGAAAAAAGCACATTTTCCAGACACATCATTTCAGTTGATTTGGACCTCATTCATACAGCAGTGCAGGCACGCTGATGGAGCGTTTACAGGGACAAATCCAGTCAAACAAACAAATCAGATTTGATCCTTCCAGCCTTCTGTCCAAAGACAATCGAGTGCTGTTCAGCAAAGCCGAAAAAAATCCATCAGTGATGGAGACGTTTGGTCTGAATTCTCAATTATGATTTAATTGAAGAGGTGAGGACGCATTACTGAGTGAGCAAAAGGCCACTTTTATTAGGAGATCATTAGAAATGAATTCCTCTGGAGGCTGGAGTAGATCAGCTTCTAATACTCCCTCTCTCTCTCTCTCTCTCTCTCTCTCAACTCTCTCTCTCTGTCTTCCTTTGCTCTTTCTCTCTCTGTATCTTTCTCAGTTCCTCTGCTGTTCCTCTCTTTATCTTTCTCTTTTTCTCTCTTTTTCTCTTTCCTCTCTTCCCTCTCTACTTCTCTTCCTTTTCTCTCTCCCTTTCTGCGTTCTATCTAAATCTTTGTCTTTATATATATATATATATATATATATATATATATATATGTCATGCCTGTATGAGCTACCTGATTGTCGCCACCTTGTGGTTAGATGAGGAACTGCAAGAGGTTTAAGCTCAAGGAGGACGTTACAGCTGGAGTGATGAGTCATCCTAATTTGTGCAGTTATTATTCACTTGGGATCAGCTCATGGAATAAAAACGTTAATATATCACCTGCATAATTCACTGCAACCTTGAAATGTTCAGGTTGTTTTGGGAAAAGTCCTATTGTTTTAACCCAGTATGTGATATAAACTCTCTGGTCCAATAAAACACTGAGAACATAAATATCATTACAACATGACAAGGAGATGTATGTATGGTGGATGGGTGGGTGGAACAGAAGCACCTTCGCGAAAGTCACCTCAGCGATTAAGCTGCTCTAATGACAGTAGCGTGGCATATATTCACGGACCAGATTCATTTCTGTATTTTTCATTCTCCATTTATCACTTTTTTATTTCATAAGACGACTATCCAGCATTTATCCACACCCACTTTCATTATAATGCAGTGTAGGCCATTTCAGAAGACTCTGATGATTAAATTAAATTTTGAAATGAACACCTACCTTGTGCTTCCACTAACTGGCCACTTTATTAGAAACAACTACTTTCCTGGTCCACTATATACAGTGCCCTCCACAAATATTGGCACCCCTGGTAAACATAAGCAAATTGACAGGAAAAAAATAAATCTTTTCATGAAATAAATATTTTTTCTCAAATCAATGCATGCCACAATATTTGGTGCCCCTTCAATTAATACTTTCTGTAGCCTCCCTTTGCAGAGATAACAGCTCTGAGTCTTCTCCTGTAACGTTTAATGAGACTGGAGAACACACGGCAAGGGATCTGAGACCAATCCTCCATAGAGAACCTCTCTAGATCCTTCCAATTTTGAGGTTTCCACTTGTTGACTCTCCTTTTCAGCTCATCCCACTGGTTTTCTATGGGGTTTAGGTCAGAGAACTGGGGTGGCTATGGCAAAATTGTGATTCTGTGGTCAGTGAGACTTTTTTTTGTTGATTTTGGGATGAGATTTGGATCATAATCCTGTTGGAAGATCCAACTATTGCCAAGTTTTAGCTTCTTGGCTGCAGCAGTCAGGTTTTGATTTAATATCTGTTGGTACTTCACACTGTATATCTGAATAAGTTGTCCAGGGCCTTTGGAAGAAAAAGAGCCTCACAATATCACAGAACCACCACCACCGTGGGGATGAGGTACTTTTCTGCATGGCTGTATGCATGCCAAACTCATCTCTTGTGTTTATTGAAAAAGCTCTACTTTGGTCTCATCTGACTGTAGAACACGGTCCTTATACCCTGCAGCCACACAGGCCCTTTGCAGATAAGATTGGACACCCCTGGACTAGAGAATCAGCAAGTGAGCTACAGTCTGTAACTCTGTGATTGATCTGAACGATTGGGGCAAGATATATAATTGCAGCTTGTCCAGGCATGTTTATTTTTTTTTGTCCAAGAGGAGGAGCATATCTAGTTTTTCTGTCTTGAGGCTTGAACACTGAATATAGTCGGCTAAACTACCTCACCATGTACCCATGAATATGTGGTTGCATCTGATTGTTCTCCTCTACAGGCAGTTCACCAACTCCATAGACTGAATTTCCACACTTAAGACACAAGACAATTTTGTTGATAATATAGACTACAGTGCCAGATCATGCTATGTGAAATGTATTATTTATTTAAAAAATCTTTTAACCCTACCAGCGAAGTGAAGCTACAGAGGAGAGGTTTCCACTATAGTCGCCAGGGAATGTATCTGTTTGAAAATGAACATTAAAGATGAGACTTTTCTTTAGTCTGCAGTTCACCATCTGAGGGGAATTCTCAAATTTCATGCAGTTCCACCTGACCTTAGTGCTAAAGTTAATGGATCTGCTAAAAGAACCTGTATCCAATCTCCACACATGCTTCTTATTCCATTCATATTTGAACAGCTGGATTAAAATTCATGCCCAGCAGAAGGACACAGAACTAGCTTCACCGGATTTGAGTAATGTGTTGCTAAATCTGAACAATATCAGCTCACAGATGTCAGACTGACATGGTGCGCATAATTACCAGCTGTGTTCAGGAAGTGAATATTATGTATCGTGTGCTGTTAAGTAGAAAAAGATGAAATAGGATGTTTGATTTTATTCTCTTTATCTACCTTGTAGCCACTTATGTAGTCAGTAGACACACTTTTACCTCAACATGTGGACTCTGAATTACCTGCATGCTGTATTAATGTAATGTTTATGAATGTATATGCGCATTTATTTTATGTATTTGCTCCTTTTTTACATATTGTGACATTATGTTTGGTCTGTTGATTGCTGGCATGGATAGTAATAAACTTGCCCCTTGTGGATAATTATAGCTGATTATTTTCAATTGTTCTATCCATGCTCAGCTCGTAGCTACTGTTGTGAGGTGGCTGTATAAGCTTTAAAGAATGATGGTAATAATCCAATTCAACCTAATGAGAAACTGTAGAGCAACTCAGTTTATTTCACAATACCTACATTTAGAGTGAGTTATTCATTCAACCTAATGTGAAACTGTAGAACACGACTCAGTTTATAACATAATACCTACATTTAGAGTGAGTTATTCATTCAACCTAATGAGAAACTGTAGAACACAACTCAGTTTATAACATAATACCTACATTTAGAGTGAGTTATTCATTCAACCTAATGTGAAACTGTAGAACACGACTCAGTTTATAACATAATACCTACATTTAGAGTGAGTTATTCATTCAACCTAATGTGAAACTGTAGAACACGACTCAGTTTATAACATAATACCTACATTTAGAGTGAGTTATTCATTCAACCTAATGAGAAACTGTAGAACATGACTCAGTTTATATCACAATACCTACATTTAGAGTGAGTTATTCAACCTAATTAGAAACTGTAGAACACGACTCAGTTTATATCACAATACCTACATTTAGAGTGAGTTATTCATTCAACCTAATTAGAAACTGTAGAACACGACTCAGTTTATATCACAATACCTACATTTAGAGTGAGTTATTCATTCAACCTAATTAGAAACTGTAGAACACGACTCAGTTTATAACACAATACCTACATTTAGAGTGAGTTATTCATTCAACCTAATTAGAAACTGTGGAACACGACTCAGTTTATAACACAATACCTACATTTAGAGTGAGTTATTCATTCACCCTAATGAGAAACTGTAGAACATGACTCAGTTTATAACACAATACCTACATTTAGAGTGAGTTATTCATTCAACATAATGAGAAACTGTAGAACACGACTCAGTTTATATCACAATACCTACATTTAGAGTGAGTTATTCATTCAGTCTAATGAGAAACTGTAGAACACAACTCAGTTTTATTTCATGATACCTACATTTAGCACAATTTGCACATTTTATTTACATGTTTTCATCCAACATGTTAAATTTAACAAATAATAAGTGTGGCATTAAATTGTGCATACGTTTCTTCTCTCTGGGGGATGCATTAACTTTTCACCTAATAAGTCAGCAAAACATGGAATCTGACCAGGGGCGTCCACAAACTTGCACAAATTAGGCCTTTAGTATAGATGGGGTGTGTGTTTTTTGTGTGTAATTGAGCTAATATTAGCATGGTGACAAATTCATCCACGTTGTTGTTTTGTCCTCTCCTGTAGCCCCCTGCGAGGCAGATACATTCTTTTGCCACAGCAACATGTGCATCAACAACTCACTGGTGTGCAATGGAGTCCAAAACTGTGTGTACCCTTGGGATGAAAACCACTGTAAAGGTGAGTAGATGACTACCACACATATTCATATTAGAGCCCTAGATAGCCAACAGTGTCCTCCATAGTTCTCCTTCTGTTCACAGTGGTGCTGATATGAACCACATGTGCAAAGTGTTTAATGCCTCTAAAAGTTATTACATGAAGTGGTTGACTGAGACATTGTTTTATTTTAGTTGTGAGAAGTTTTCGGCCTAATATGTCATTTTAAAAACATATGGTGAAGAGATACATACAGAGTGTTCTGAGGCAAAATAGTCCCCAAGAAAAACATATTTTTTGATTTACCACTGTTAAAATAATGAACATTACATATAAGAACCCAGAAGACACGTGTAGGTCCACTGGTCTTTTTTTGGATTGTAAATAAAATAGTTAAATTTGCATTATCGACATAGTGACCCCTGGTTCCTATCACCACCACTGTAAAGAAATCTGAGTAGAAAAGTTCCTCCACAGTGAATCATTTTACATTAAACCACTCTGAATGACTTTGTATACATCTCAACAAATTAATTCAGGAGAAATTTTGAAAAATCAGTGAAAAGTTGTAGTTACACCAAATGCAAGTAACGTTTGCCTGTCGAAAAAGCCAGTTCACTTGAATGTTTTGCTTTGTGCCGAGTTCCCCTAAGTAACTCTTCGAATTCGCAAACCTCAGAAACATGGTTGAACAGAAAACGAGGGCAAGCTGTGGAATCTCTCTAAAAAAAGATTAAATGGATGTGTTGCAAAAAGAAAAAAAGTCTAGTTGGCATTTGCTGTTTACCAAACAATATGTTCCCTCCCAAGCTACTTTACATCAGGATTCAACTGATATTTGCTTCACCCAGTTGAAGAAAATAGTGAAGCGACAGTCTGGTATGACCTCAGCTAGTGTTATTTCACCGTTACGCAAACGTTTTCAACATTATAGGAAACCTTAGCTGATCTCATAGAAAAAGAAAAACATCATCTGAAGTATGCAACACTTAGATAAACCTGAGACATTTTGGAAACAAGTGCTGTGGGATGTTGAACCAAAAATTAAACACAATTGGTTTAGGTAAAATAGAGCAGCATTTGATGAAAAGAACACATTGCCAACTGTTAAGCATGATGGTAGATCTGTTATGCTTTTAAGTTGTATAGTGTTTAAAAGACCTTTTTCTTTAGGATATATAATGTATGTAATTGTTTTCCGCATAGGACATCAGATATTTTTTGTTTGGACATTCTTACCATTAGAGTCTATAATATTTTGTGACACATAAGCCATTGTGGGTCAACAATCCAATGATTCGGTTTGATTTTGGCACAATTCAAACTTCACTAATGTGACTGGAGGAACTGTTTATACAGTAATATAATAAAGACAATAAAATGACAATAAATTGGATTATATGTTGGACAAAAAACAACTGCTTAATTTATAGAACATATAACTGATTATAATCCAAAGTCAGTGCAGTCGAATCACCTTCAGATCAGTGCATTTTTCTGCCCCTCAATAGTTCAATGGATAAAAAACTGGAGCTTCATTATAACAGTCATGCGATTCTTCCTGGAAAACGCTTGTGCTTTGAAAGCACAACAGTGACTTTTAAGGCCGCCAGAGTCCTGGAGAAAATAATGATCCCACCTGCAGCCACCCATTTATCTCAGAATGACTGTATTCAGGTCAGATATGGAAATAACCACAATTTATAAGAGTCGTCTGGGGCATTTGTGGGTTTATATCTCACACAGGCATTCAGAGCTACAATTAGCCGGAAGCTGAATGTACGGCTGTCAGCATCTTTAGAGGAAAGGTTTGTTTTCTGCTGTTCATGCAGCACTGTTTAGACACAGCACTGTCTATACGCTCCCAGTTAGCTGCAGAATGCCACAGTTTTGGCTTTGAATCTGTTCTGCAGTGCGAGCATTTTCTCCTCTCAGAGTAAAGCTTGTCTCCAGCGTGGCTCATAAATAAACAACACGTTTCCTATTAGACTGACTTGCTGAGGTGTAGCTGCATTTCAGTTAAGCTTTAAATATGCCTAATTATACACCTAAACTTTAATAGTTTCGCAATAATGCCACTGTGACTCAGTGTGCTTTCAGTCAGCACTCAATAAGTGTAAATATTGCTTAATTTTGTACTTACAAGTGCAATGTTCTTTATTTTATGTTAATAAAAAGTGCAACACTCATTATTTTATGACAACTGCAGTAAACTGACCATTTGTCCTGTTTTTATATACCTATATTCACCCAAACTCTGCCTATTAAGTCAGCCACTGGCTCACGAGCTGCTGAATAATATTCTTTTATTAGCTCACTATCGAAGCATCTGCATGAATTAAGTTGTGCTTCATTTTAATTATATGTATGTGTATATGAAGTGGGGCATGTGCAGGCGCTTGTTTTCATGCACTGAAGCTGATTCATCAACTTCACTCAAATATCTACTTGTTCTGTCATCACATGACAGTTTCCTGATTCTGATGTGGAATAACATCCAAAAAGTTCTAAACAAAAATTTAAAATGAAGTTCTAATAAAATTAACACCCAGAAAGAAGTTCTAATAAAAATATTATCCAGAATGAAGTTCTAATAAAATTATTATTCAAAATAAAGTTCTAATGAAATTAACATGCAGAATAAAGTTCTAAGAAAATTATTATCCAGAATAAAGTTCTAAAAAATTAACATCCAGAATGAAGTTCCAATAAATATAATATCAAGAAGGTTCTAATAAATTTATTAAAAAATTTTCTTTAATTTATTTCAAATCTGAATGCATAACTGTGCTTATTAAGAAAAGGAAGAAGAAGGAAAAAAATCTGATTAAGTTCTAATAAAATGAACAGAATTATGTTCAGAATGAACTTTTAATAAATTTAGTACCTATAAAGAAGTTCATATAACAATAATGTCCAGAATGAAGTTCTAATAAAATGCATATCTAGAATTAAGTCCTATTGAAATTAATATCCAGAATGAAGTTCTACTAAAATTAATGTCTAACATTTTCTAATTCTAGATCTAATAAGATTATCCAAATTAAAGCCCTAATGAAATTATTATTTAGAAGCAAGTTTTTATAAAATTATTAGAAAATTACACATGTAATTTTTTCTATAGGTTAATGAGACCTAACTGCCCTTATTGGGGAAACGATTTGAAGGAATAATGATTAAGTTCTAACAAAACTAACATCCAGAATTAATTTTTATGATAATCAAAATTATATATGGTATGAGGTTCTACTAAAAAAAAAAAATACCCAGAATGATGTTTTACTAAAAGTACTATCCAGAATTAAGTTCTAATAAAATGAAAATACAAAATTAAGTTTTAATAAAATGAATTTAAATAGATAATGCCAGTATATTATTTATTATTTAATAATTGTTGTAATCCAAATGCTTGAACTATATCCTAAAATTAAAAAAAAAAAGAAATGAAATACCTTCTAGTGTCTTGTTCTGAATCTTTAAATCTTCACTGTGTAAAAATAAGTTATCAGTGTGTAGAAAAACTATTATTATTGGGGCAAATTATTCCAAATTTTTTGAATGTTTTGTTAAACATGTTTGTTTTGGTAGTGGTTAGCTTTGCTTACCACTACCAAAACAAATTTCCAAGAGAATAAAGTATATAATTATTTCAGTTTAATGTCTTAACCCCTGTTTGTGTATATGTGGTCAGAGAAAAGGAAAGCTAACCTGCTGGACAACCTGAACAACACGAACGGCACCATCATCGGAGTGACTTGCTGCGTAGTGCTGATCCTGCTGGTTGTATCTGTGGTGGTTCAGATAAAGCAGCCACGGAAGAAGTACATCCTGCGGCGGGACGATTTCGACCCCACCGTGTTTCAGGAGGTCTTCCAGGAGCCCCCACATTACGAGCTGTGCACGCTGCGGAGCGCCGCCGCCGCCTCCGCTGACCTGGCCGAGCTGGCCGAGGACCTGGAGAGTTTCCACCGGCTGCGGAGGTCATCGTCCCGCTGCATCCACGACCACCACTGTGGCTCCAACCAGCCGGGCAGTGCCAAGGGTAGCAACCTCAGCCCCACGGCCATCATGACTGAAATCCAGCCTCAGCCCGCGAGGCCGCTGCTGCCCCCGAACACAGCCAACCGCCGCAGCATCCTGGTGATGAAGCACAGCTACTCTCAGGACGCCTGCGAGCTGGACGACGAGCTGGACGAGGTCCCGACCACCAGCCACAGGCTGTCCAGACACGAAAAGGCAGTGCAGCGGTCAGTATCAATTGATTTTTGATGGACTTTTTCAGAGTTTTAGGGGGAGGGGAGGGCTTAACATTTTCGCCCTGACTTTCATTTTCCTTTTTTAAACCCCCCCTTTTTCAGTTTTTTAAGTTTTTTTCTTCTCACATTGTTTTTTTTTTCCTTTAAAGCTTCATTTTTTTGTTTTAATCCTTTTTATTCACCAAGACCAGAATGCACAAGGATTTTTTCTTGGTGTAGGTATCAATATAAATTTCACCAAAATGATATTATGTATAGATCATCACACACCAACTCACCTGTCAGGTCAAATCATAGATTTCCAAGAAAAAATTCAAGAAAAAATCTTATAAAATATATACACCGACTGGCCACTTCATTAAGTACACTTACCTTGTAGCTACACTTTTGTCCATTTCATCAGGTCCACTTACTATATACGTGCACTTTATAATTCTACAATTACAGACTGTAGTCCATCTGCTTCTCTATGTACTTTGTTACCCCACTTTTACCCTTTGACCACCACAGAGCAGGTATTATTTGGGTGGTGGATCATTCTCAGCACTGCAGTAACACTGACGTGGTGGCAGCGTGTTAGTGTGTGTTGCACTGGTACGAGCGGATCAGACACAGCAGTGCTGCTGGGGTTTTTCCAACACTGTGTCCACTCACTGTCCACTATATTAGACAAACCTACCTTGTTGGTCCACCTGGTAGATGTAAAGTCATCTGCTGCTGCCTAGTTTGTGTTGGTCATCCTCTAGTTCACTGTGGGCTGGATATTTTTCGTTGGTGGACTATTCTCAGTCCAGCAGTAACACTGTGTCTGATCCTCTCGTACCAGCGCAACACACACTAATACACTACCACTGTGTATATTTGTTGTTCTTAGTTTTGTATTTGTGTCCAGTGAACATTCAGCTCAGTTGAGTCTGTGCATAAGCAGTTACAATCAGTATTTAAGATGCAGTTTAGAACCTGATGGGTTAAACTTCATAACCAGAATATTCATAACTAAAAAACAATCTGGATAGATTAAATAGAAGTTTTTGCTTGAATGTTTTCATGGAAATTCATGACTTGACCTGCCAGATCCTAGAGCCTAGATGAGTTGGTGTGGAATGAGCTGATACCGTGGGACCAAATGTCTGAGACCACATTGAAAATTTGTGATTTTTTTTTTAGAAGATTTTGAAACATAAAGACAACAAAAAGTTATGAAATGACAATGATAATGCAAATCATTAAATCTAAAATATTCTGCGCTATTTCTAGGCCACTATTCAAATTTAAGCAGATTTGTGACTGTACAAAAGTCTGATTTCTTCCATTGAAGATCATGTATAGATGACTGTCAGGTGGATTTGATCTACTTACTAGAGGCTTTTGCACAAAAGTCCATGCTAGCCTGACTACACACTGTAATTAAAGAAGAAGAACATGAATTTCAGTATCTCAAGAATTCTACTATTCACTCAAATTGCTATGCTGAAAATATAATTGAGGGGTTTTGTTCCAAAATGCATTACAGACCACTTTAAAAACATTCTATTAAACGATATTAGTTGTTGAGAGTGGGCTTTACACATACAAGACATATCAGTGCTATATTACAATTAATATCACCTTTACTGAAGAAATCATTTTTTGCATTTTGGAATCAAACTCTTGAGTTTGTGATGAAAAATGATCAATTCTGTAAAATTATATAAAAACTAGAAAAGAATGCAAAATAGAGGCATTTTCTTTAGTGATCTCAGACTTCTGAACCCCACTGTATAACCACGATACAAATCACATAATATATATGTAAAGGGTGTTATTTTAAATTATAAAGTTGCATCATAAATATTGACGTGGTGTACAGTTATAATGTATGTACAGTCATGTGCAAAAGGTTGGGCACCACTGGTCAAAAATGTGCTATGGATTTTCTAAGTGAAAAGAAGTGAACATATCCTGTACAGAGAACATACTTCAGCACACTTTAATGCACAGTTACTATTTATTTGCTGAAATTAGCATATTGGAAAAATAATATGCAAATGTTATGGCACATTTAATATATTTTGTTGTTTTTTCCGATATGTTAAGTTCAGCAAATAAATAGAAATGATGCATTGAAATTTGCAGAAAAGTGTCATATTTAAGCTTGTTTACTACAGATGATGTGATAACTTCTTTTCACAAAACATGTCATTTGACCAGTCATAATTCATCCAAATCTTTGCCTATGACTGTATATACAATATGTTCAGTTTAAATGCAAGCATTGCACATATTTTTGTAATATTATTGGAACCTCAGCACTCAGTAATTATAAAAAGGCTGGTTGAATGGTAAAGGAAAAGGCCTGAAGGCACCATAAGGTCCAGGCTCTATTTGAGTTTATGCTCAAATCTCTTTACATGTCTAGATTCCAGCAAGTATACGGGATAAAGTGCCCATTTATTGAAGGTCATCTGCATTCTACCGGATGCATGAAGACACCTATGGATCCTAACTGACCAACAAAGACCTCTTTTGTTCAGAGGTTTATTTTTTCAATAAACCTGCAATATGCTGTTTTTACTCTCTACACAAGGGCTCGCAGGTTTGGCCTACAGATTTCTTGCAGATTTTCTATTCACATAATGTACATATAGGCCAATCAGGAGTGATAGATGTAGAATATTTAGATGTAAACATATAGTTACAGATGCTTAAACTACTAAAAATATATAATAATAACTTGCATGAATTCTGAATCTGCGAGTATTTTACAGTACGTTTTGCACCGTGACTGCTTGAGAATTTACATGTTAACAGGTCGTACGCTAACTTTCTATAAAAGAAGAGTAAAAGAAAGTCATTTATTTGCATGCACATTGTGCGTGTGCTCTGTTTTGTGTCACTGAGAATTTGTCCCTTCCAACTTGTGCATGCAAGAGATATAGACCCAAAACCCAGATGAATTCTGGGTAATATTTCTTTCTATGCAAAAAAGCCATTAAGATATTAAATGATTAAATGTAAGAGCGGTGATATTTCAGGTTCTGCCTCATTGGGTCTCTAAGCAAACATGAATCAGAGTACAACACAACTAGGGTGTGAGACAATCAGGTAAGCCCTTTTTTTTAAAAACAAATATACCTATATTTTTATTTTATTTTGTATTTTGTGTAGTCATTGTGATTCAGTGTCTCTGTTGTTTTGTTATTTATTTTTTTGTTATTTGCTCTTATTTTCATGCTCATAAAGATGGTTAGCATTTAGGTGTGAAACCATCTTGCTTGTCCTGTGATTTCTTTTTTTTTTCCTTTTGCATTGTTTTTTTTTATGTTTAAACTTATATGTGATGATTTGCTCATGTGCATGGAGTTTCTGTTTCAGTGTCGAAGCTACTGAGCCAGGCAGGTACAGATTCAACCATGCCTACACTGAAATGTGTAATGCCCTGCATTGACTTGGTTTTGAAATGTACATCATTTCCAAATGAATAAAATATACTATATCAACACAATTATTGCAAAAGTATTTACCATATAAAGACTTATTGGTTTATATATATATTTTATTTATGTAGAAATGGTGTACAAATTTGAGTCAAGTAAATTTTATGCATTTTTCAACAGACAAACAGGCACAAAACATTATAAAGCAACATGTGGCTGTTCAGTTCAGGCTCTTCTTCATAGCAGTGAATGTCTGGATTAAGTTCTCCTACCAAACTTCTTGACAAAGTCCTTGTTTCAAGCCCCAACTGGAAACTGCTTTATGATGGTTTGTGCACATTCATCTTTTAGAAAATCATACTTATCAAGAAGATACATTGCATATGATATTCTATCACTGTGCAAGTGCATAAATTGTGTAGCCTTCTAAGTAAATTACAGTGATTTTACTTACTAATAGTAAACCAGTTCTATGTGGGTCAATTTATTACACTCAGCTGGGGCCTGGCAGTCATGTTAGATTTTCTTAACAAGAAAATCTAGAAAAATACTTCTGTTTTATTCTTACAATCATGCAAAATGTCAACACTGTGCTCCCAACTGTTTTTTAGTTATGACCTTTTAAAAAATTTTTAATTGAATTTTGCATATAAATGTTGAGTTGACATGACGGAACTGAGCTGAAATATTAACTTGCTATAAATACAACACTAAGAATAGTATTTCACTTTAAATTATTTAGTTCTAGGATAATATATTCCCACAAGAAGTTAATGTATTGGAAAATGTACTTTTTTTATATCTGACCGAGGTTCTGTGCATAATATATCTCCCAAAAACAAGAAATGGAAGTATGTCGCCCCTTCAATTAGAATACAGGCTTCTTAGAGAGTTATAGAGGTTAATGCAGAACGTCAGCATTAATCCACACACTTAAAAAGGATGGTTCTTCGGGGGTTCTTTAGTGAAGGCAATGGTTCTGTTTAGAACCATTAGTTCTATATAGAAACATTTGCATGCTTAAATGGTTGTTTACATGGTGAAATCGCTTGATATCATAACAATAAAGAACACTTTGTGCTACATTTTCTAAAAGGTTCTATATAGAAGCATATACAGCACATTCTCTATCAATCTGAAGAACAATTTCACCAAGTAAAGAACCACTTAAGCATGCATATGTTCTGTATAGAACTGATGGTTGTAAATAGAGCCCTTACCTGTACTAAAGAACCCTTGAAGAACCATCTTTTTAGGTATGCAGCATGTTTATACATTTCTTTTAAAATAAGCTATTTAGACAAATACCTCACGTTTAAAAGTATATACATATTAACCATGATGGATTATTGATGAGACGTAACTGTCCTTACTGAGGAAAACTTTAGAAGGAAAAAAGTTTAGGGTCAAAAAGACCTCCAGAATGGATTTTTAGTTATGAAGCCATTTAAACTTATGGTATGGCTTCAAATATTAGATGCAGAAGTAAATATTTATTGGGTTTGATAAAATATTCTTTATTTTTAATTTAGGAATACTACCTGAAAATTTATAAAAATAAATTGGAATTGTATTTATACAGGTAATATTTCTGCTCAGTTCAGTCATTCTGTAAGCAGTTATGCTTTAGTATTTAAAATGCGAATTAAAAGATTTACAGGACAAACCTTTCGAATGCATAACTAAAAATGTATTTGGTGCACAACTTAAAAGTTTTGTGTGGTTACTTGAATAAAACGTTTTTAACTGAATTTTTTGACCTGCTAGGCCCCAGGTGAGTTGCCGTGAAATGACCCAAATACATTTTATCTATATTACAGTGCAGGGTTTCTTAACCTTTAACCTGCAAGACCCACAAAATTAATGTGGTATGTATATTATGTATCATTTTTGGTGAAGATAACTTCCAAGTAGCTAAAATCTTTCCTAAAGCAGTTACATGCAGTTTTACATTTAAAACGCATTTAATGAACATATATGAACGTACATGAACATATGAACATAAAACCTTGCTATTTAGCAAACATTTATAGTAAGTACCAATAAAGCAGGCCTACATGACTTGCGGTGTAGCTCCTGGTGTGGCCTGTCTAGAAAATAGTTCAAAAATGAGGGAAGTGGGTTTGACTGAATGTTAAGCAGCCCTGCCTGTCGCACACAACTGATATAAAAACTACATATTTGAATTCATTACCAGCCTTGAATGAAAAAGAAAAGCATTTCCTCTTGTTGTCTTTGATAATTCATTAATTTTGTTACATTAAGCCTCTTGTTTTGTGTCTGTTGAATCACACTGTGAACTGTGCGCTGTTGTGTGTCTTTGCTCATGTTCTACGTTATGTTGCATTGTCTCCATTATATAGACTTCTTGAAAATAGTGCAATCCTGGATCAGTACGAACGAGCTTCAGTGAAATATGAAAACATGGACCGGAGATTTACACCAGCATGATGACATGGACACTTTAGTGACAATTATAGGGCCTACAAAACACATTACAGATGTAAATATGTCTCTGTAGCAAAGAAAAAGACTTGCTTGGAATATCTGAAACTTGAATTTAGGAGCATTAAGTTAGTCCATTGCCCTTTTATCTTCGGATTTTTTTTAAAACTTTCAGTCTAAAGATCACACAATGTCAGATGTTATTTTTTTGAAAGAGAATTATTTCACTTCAGTTTACAAGAATAAGTGTGAAGAGTACTTCTTGTTTAATGTTCTAGTGCATGCATTTGTTATTTTGCCATAAAAAAGATGTTTTGTTTTGTTTTTTATACACTGGTATTGCCGCTGATTATGATTCTCCATATCTACAATCTACACATATTTCCATCATTTTTGACTTTTGCATGTTTTACACCTATTTGACATTACGTTTAATGATTGATCATACAGGTAGCTTACCCAGAACTATTTTATTGTAGAGTCTAATCAAAGGCATTGTGAATTAAACTAAAGTCCCCCTTAGAAGGCTAATTCCTGTACTAACGTATGCATGCTAAAATCTTAATGAAAGATAAAACGTATGGCTAACCTAATTTAAGAATGTTTTATTTGAATTGGATGAATTTGCAGTATAACATTAAAAGTGCAGGTGCTTTGACAGAAAATACAGTAACTTTTGCTACATTTTAGTGGCACATAACCTTTGTACATGAAACTTTTGTAGCTGGACCACCTTTAACACTCAGTTTATGTATGCTTTATGAGACAAATGAAAATAATAAACTTTGACAAGCTTCCTTTTCATGTTTCTTATGCCACCTGGGCCTAAATCGTAAACTGAAAAAAGAAAATGTGTTGTCTAACATACTGAATATTTGATTTTTTCTGAAATTGGAAGAACATGTTTGTCACTAGCATGTGGAACTGCAATGATTAGCAATGACTATTTTATTAAATAGCAACTAAATTTGTACTAATGGATACAGTATGATATTGTGATGATTTTCTTTCCCAATTCTGATGACAGATTGTATGTACATTTCCTCTACTAACAGGTAATGCTAAATGACTTAGTACCAAAGCAGCATTAACATCCCGTACATACAGACACATTTTTGTTGCTAATTTTGATAATCTTAACAAACATTTTCACTCTCACTAAGCAGTAATGTTCAAAATGACATACAATGCATATACCAACTAATACTGTACCATCAGCAAAGGCTGCAGCACAAGACAAGGTATGGATATAAGCAGGGCGTGGGAACTGGGGGTGCAGAGGGGGCTGCAGCACCCCCGATTTCAGGATTGCAACTGTAAAAATAATAATAAGACATTCTGAACTGTCACTTAGATGTATTTATTGTTGTCACGCACCTCATTATAGCACTATGACGTTCTGTTTGATGTAAGCTAGAAAAAAAATCAATTGAATTGATGTCATCGGTCACGCCACATATACTCTGCTTGAATTTTAGCACCCCCATCTTAAAACACCTGCCCGCGTCCCAGGATTAAAGCTCTGTTTCATTGGCTTTTTGATTATAGTGTCAGTTTATAACATGTTTAGCCTATTATGTCATCATAATAGTAACATTTGAACCCTTGGCAGAAAATGGTAGAACTGTACCGTTTATTAGCAGATCAGATTAGCAAGCTAAGTTGTGATCACCGAATTGAATTGATCACTGTTAGTGCTATGACTTGAAACCAAACTCACTTGACCCTTTAATAAAAGACATATATTTGCCTTTTAGTGAAATGTTGAAGGAATAGCTCAACTACACTCTAATGCTGATGTAGCTAACAGGGAATGGAATGGAATAGCAGCTACCAGTGAGCATGAATTCATTTGCAAGTGCTATTCGATGTCAATTTACTTTTATTCATGTTTTTAGCATGTAGGCAAACTGACACTGGACCTATACTTTAAAATGTATGTAGTCTCATATTTGGAACAATGTTTTCTATTTTTCCTGTGCAAAACCAATAAAGAATATGCAGTAAGGAGGAAAATGTAGGATTTTGGGGTTGACCTAATAGTGTTTTCACTTTTTCTACAGGCAGATGCACCATTGCCCTGCATCTTTCCAAGTTTGACCGCTTAAGGGGCTAACTTATAGCACCCTCCTACTGACAGGACTGTTGCATTCAGCGAATATAAACGGCATTGTGGTCGAACTTGCTTTTTCTCTGATTGCCTTGGGCCTCTTGGCTTTTGGTGAATGCCACTAACTCGTGTTCCTACGTTGAATTTAAGCCCCTGAACAGTATTTTAGCACCTAGACAGTAGGCGTATGTCTACAACTCCTGACAACAAACTGAAATCCAGGGGTGTATTGATGGGGGATGTGGTGGGGGGTTTGTGGGGGTAGGATGGGGTTTGGGGAAGATTTTTTCATTCTATTCTCCATTTTTTTAATTTTTCATTGTGTAGAATATGAGTCAGCTATTTTTTCTCTTGTGTGACCTTTACAAAAAGTTATCTAATGCCAAAACAACATTAGAATTTCAATGATGGTAAATGTCGATTCAAATTTGTTACTGTCTTAAAGCAAACATGAATGAGCTGCATCTTTTTATCACCTGATAAGCAGATGTCAGTTGCCTAAATTTGACCTGATTTTTCTGTGATCTGTCTTCTAATCTTATAACACTTACCCCACCAAGCATCTCTGTGGACACAAAATGAAGAATGTGGATCAAAGTTAGATTCAAATCTCAACCATAATCTAGAAATCGGTCAGCAGGTCTTGTCTATGCATACTTTAATAGAAAAAAAATCACTACAATCTTCATAGATGAATTATTGATCAGTGACTTGAAGGTAGAAAATCACAGATTTTTTTTTCATTAAACATGAAATGTCTGTATGTTCAAAATTTGCTCATTTGACAAAAGGTCTTCATTTGGTTCAACGTTGGATAAAATCCTGAACATATTGTTTTCAATAAAGTGACATGAATAATTCTGTCGAATTCTTGCTTCATGCTTGATTATTACATGACATTTTACAGAAAGTATATGAAAGCTCTGTTGTTTTGAATGTTTCGCCTCATTAGCCTGCACAAATTGGAGAGGCTTTTAACTTGTATGTGCTATTTATATTTTTTTCTTTTCTGGGAACTGAAAACTGATAATGAGAGATCAGAATTAATGATGGTTTCACATATGAAAGGTAAGTTAAATAATGCACCAAATTCATGCACACATTTTAAAAATAATTACTGCGAAAGTTAAAACACTACAACTCCCATGAGCCCCAGCTACCGTGTCTAAGCTGCGAAGTCAACAGAAATCAAGTCTTAAAAAAAGAAAACACAAATAGAGCATGTATTTTATTCAGTGAAAGTTAAACATGAGTACATTTTGTGAGATAGCCCACTAATGATCAAGAAGTCAGCATATTTGACTGCACACGTTTTATTCAGAAATTTTCAAAACACTACAACTCCCATGATCCTCAGCGGACATCAACAGCCGTCTAACAGACTAAAAAGTCTCACTTTGAAATATAAAAGATTTTATTCAGTGACAGTTATACTCGATTAATATTTGTCGTAGTCCATAAATAACCATATAGATAAGCTTAGCCGTGTAAAAAACGTTTATGTTAATATGCGAAATTATCACAGGGAACTTTAGTTTTGAAGGGGAATATTAGCACCAGGGTTGCTAGGACAAGCAGTTGGACTCTTAATGAGAACTAAGATTGTTTTTCTAGGTTTTCACTGGCCATTTTGTCAGTTAATATCCACGCTGTCTTGAGAGAAAACTGTTTTTGTCTTTAAGTAAAACAACAGCGTGTTCGTAGCTAAGCTAGCATATCAGATACTTCTCGTGAAGCAGCCAGCTAGCTAACCTAGTTAGCTAAGTTAGTGGTACCTTAGTTAACGTTAATATCTGACCAGAATCAAATATAAATCGGTTATTAATTCTTAATAGCTGGCATAATGGCTTACTCTCTCATATTCAGAACTGGCAGAACTTCACATTGTGTACAGCAGATATTAAAGCGTGTAAATATCACCTCGTCTCCACAAGTGTCACCTTTGCAGGTGAATAATCCTGTTTTAATCCAGTTAAAGTTAACTAAATCGCCTTTTGCCCAGTGGACATGTATGCAGCGCTGGTTTGCTGTTCAAACTCGAGATTTTCACGCTGGAGCTCAGTGCAGGAACATAAAGGATCATGAGGGAAAGGACAGGACCCAGGTGTCAGTCCATAAGAGCCAGACATCATCTGGCCTCTCGGCGTCACAGAAAGGTTGGTTTAGGGATTTTATTACAGTTCAGACGTCATAATAAAGTGTAATAGCTTTATGTCAAGACCATGCTGTTGGCAGACGTAAGTACTCAGTTTTGCTTGGTTTGACCAACAGTAAAGCAAGCTGGGAAAGATTTCACCTATCTGATAGTGGTGCTCATTGGACTTGGAGTCACAGGTGAGATTAATGCTGTTTTGGAATTTCCTAGTTAAATTGTTGATTATTTAAAGGGGCAGTCCTGCTTAAAACTAGCATTTGGTATGCTAGTTGTCATGATATGTAATATTATGCAGTGCAGCTTTGCATCCCTCAGCTTCATGAGTTTGACAGAATTTTTATGTTTTTTGTCAATAATCAATATTCTCTCACTACAATACCCAGCATGCATTACACAAATACATCACACAGCCATTATATCAGCTATCTGGCCTCCTTCTGTATTAGCCAACTAGCAGGAAAAAATTAATTTGAACAGTCCCCCCACAATTATCCACCCCACTGCACTTGTAGTCTGTCAAATGCTCCTCCCACCTTCAGGATGCATCATCAGAAGGGAGCTTTTCTAGACTTTAAACCAGAAAATCTCTCTCTAGAGACTACTGCAGCTCCATAGTTGAGGAGAGTAGGCATATGTAAAACAGATGTAGTGATAGTTTAATTTTTCATTTTGCCCAGAGTGTTCCTTTAACACTGACAGTGTGCCTATAGAGGTTGTATAACATCTAAAGTATTGACTTGGCATCATTTCTCATAGGAGGGCTTCTGTATGTCATCTTCCAAGAGCTGTTTTCATCATCAAGTCCAAGCAAACTGTATGGAAAGGCATTTGAAAAATGCAGATCACATCCAGAGGTAGGCAAATTTGGAGAATTTCATCACAAAATAAGGCACCTTTTTTCAGAAGGAGTACACAAATGGTTGCTTTGTGTGGTTTGTAGGTAATTGGAGCTTTTGGTGAGCCCATCAAAGGCTATGGAGAAACCACTCGCCGGGGTAGAAGGCAACAAGTTCGGTATGAAAGCTGTACTTATTTTTGAATGTTATGAGACAGGTATACTTTCCAGTTCCAGTGGTATGCAGTCATGTATTTGTGGTTTGTGTGAAATGCTCCATTTTGGAGAAACACAGTGTATCAGACTTGTTCACAGTAGTGGTGATAGGAACCAGACGTCCACCTCTAAAATCTCCCTCCCAGTTATTAACGAAATGGTTATGAATACACTGCCTGATGCATGAGGCATTGTTTTCACAATAGTTTTGAGGTTTTGGCATAAAATGTTTTTTCTAAAATGTTTTTTTTAAAAGACAGTCATGGTGGAGGGGTACATGCAAGGTGTTGTAAGGCAAAATAAGAGTCCCCAAAGAAAAAAATATATATTCATGTCAAATGAAATGGATACATTTGCTTAATGGATATATCACCACCGTTATAAAGATAACTAGGCTGAGTTACTTTGAACCATTTCAAACAGCATCAGAACACTTTGCATGATTTTGTTTACAAAGCAATGATTGAACTATGCGGAAATTTAGAAAACTTCCCTTTTAACTGGCTAATCTTCCTGCAGACATATTGAATACATCAAGGATGGAGAGAAGTACATGAGGCTGAAGTTTTACATTGAGGGCTCAGAGCCGGGACTGCGCGGAACTGTTCATTTAGAATCAAAACAGGTGAATTTCAGAATTTCATTGAGCTCATTTTAGTCATCTTATTTAAAAATATCATTTCTTTGCTATACATGTAATATGAAAATGCTTATGAAGTTTCATTTGTGGTGTTGATCTCATTTTACAGAATCCTGAGACGGGAAAATTTGAATTCCGCTACATATTTGTGGACATAGACACATATCCCAGGAGGACCATAGTGATTGAGGACAACAGATGATCATTTTCAGGGAAATTTGTAGAAGTGTAGTCAGTGAACCCTGGACAGGTTCTCTTCAAGCACTTACTGCTCATATTGGAATTAAAGCCTGTTAAGCTTTATGTTGAACTTTATTTGATTGCATTCGGCTAGGTTTCCATGCACTATAATAGCAGTATTTCCCCTAGATTTCATATATTGCGTATTTTGAAGATGTCCGTCTATTTTTGCAGGGAAATTTTACAAGGAATTAAATAATGAAATAATATTATTTCATTAATTATTCAGATTTATTCATATCAGTTTACACTAGGTGCTTCAGAAAGTGGTGCTTATGCAGATTTTGTATTAATGATCACATCCCTCTATGTTGGGGTCAGTGATTACTGTGCAATTTGCAGTTTCCCAGCACTTCAATAGTTCCATTAACTGTAGCCACATTTTGTAAGTCATTCTGTTTAATTGTGTCCAGTATATGAAAATAGCTGATTCCAGATAAGTGAAGAAAATGAGCTTTTGTGCTCGCTGACATGCTTGCAAACTGCCTGATTTTCGTTAGTCACTGGTCAACTCAATATACTTCTTAAAATGAGTTTTTGGCATCAGCAATTAAATCATATCGGCTGGTGCTGCAATTCTGTCATTTAATTAAGATGACCTGGAAATGAACCAAAATAGTGGTCATTACTTGTCATATAATCGTTGTGTTATGATGACAAGCATTGGACATATTTGGATTTTTGCATGCTTTGAAATGTAGCTGTTGTAATATGGAGTGATTGGAAAAGGAGAAAAGGCTTAAAGGGGCATTCCACTGATTTTTGAAAATTTCTACGTTGAGATGGAGCAAAGTCATTCAGTGTTTTAATGTGAAATGGTTCATTGCAGAGAAATTCACAGGCTCATATGTCTTTACAGTGGTGGTGATAGGAACCAGGGTCCTGTCTACAACACAAATATAGTCATTTTATTTACCATCCAAAAAGACCAGTGAACCTGCATGTGCCTTCTGAGATTTCAGGGGTTATGTTGATCATAGTGAAATAATGTTAAATCTGAAATAAGAAAAAAAAAATGCTTTCTTTGGGGACTGTTTTGCCTCATGACGACCTGCATGTACCACTCCGCCATGAATACATATTAATAAATACATTTTCGGCCATAACCGTATTTCAGATCTGCCATAAAACAATGTCCAAGACATCAGGCAGCAATTTCATAATCATTTCATGTAATAACTTTGTGTGAGGGAGATTAGAGGTGGACATCTGGTTCCTATCACCACCACTGTGAACAAATCTGACCTGGTAAGTTTCTCTAGAATGTAGCATTCCATGTCAAACCACACAATTTTTGAAAAATTAGTGGAATTCTCCTTTAATGAGAGCAACTGGAGTGATGCCAAGCAATAATTTTCATTAGCACTAATGATCTCTGTTGTGGTGAATAAAATCACAGTACTTTTTGTGGTTGTACTTAATTTATGACGCAATATGAATCAACTTCCAGTTCAATATCTTCATATGTTTAAAAAGGAGTTTTGAATGCATTAACTGATGTTTCATGAACCTCAATTTTTGTCTTTTTTATTTGTATTGCTTTCCGTCACACTGATAACGTCCAACCAGGTTAAAAGCAAGAAAAAGAAGACAGAAAAGCTCACATCTATGAACAATGGCATTGCCTTGTCAACCCTAATTTCTATTTCTTAATCATGTGCAGTGAGCTCACTACGCTTGTTTCTTTACATAATGCTTTAATACTAATTACTTACCAAATATTTTAATGTTTAAAAATTATTTTATGATATCTTCAACACAGATACTCAGATTCCTCTTAGACAATGTTATGCAGTCAGAGACAGTGGAAGCTCCCTCTCTCGCTGGAGTCCAGCAGGGGGCAATATTGTACAACTACAGGAATTGTGCAATGAACGGCAAACCAATTGGGTGCCACATTACTATAGATTTACTCTGTTACAGGTCAAAGAAACTGAGATTATCACATTTATGATCCAGTTTATGCACTGTTAATGTATTATTGAGTTTTCTCTCATTGTAGATGTAGACAGGTCTCTATTGAAAAGCAGCTAATACTACCAACTCATAGTTTAATACACATAGACTTAATACACATGCTTTCCAGTGCATGTGTCTTCAAAGGAGATCAATAGAAATTAATAACCTAGCAGGGTTTATGATCAGTGCATGATGATTTCCTACTCTGGTTAGATTATAAGCTTTGGTACATTATGAATTTCTTCATTATTTATGGAAAATAATTTATGTAAGTGGCAAATGGTTAAAAAGGAAATCTAATTTTGTACAGTTAAGAAAGAAAAGGATCATGATAGACATACACTGACAGGACTGAAGGACGCCAAAGCAAAGAATTGTATAGAACATTGTAAGATAGAATATCTTACATTTTGCAAAACTCTTAACTCTTTTTTAATCTTCTTTTTTCTTTTTCATATATATATATATATATATATATATATATATATATATATATACATGATTCCCCTTATATATTATTTCTGGTTTCAAGGCCTGAAGGCCGTATTGATTGGCTCTTAAGCCATGAGGCTAATGTTGTTAATAAGTAATGGGAATCCATGTCACCCAAAATGCTAAAATGATAGACAACTGTTGTATTAAACACTGAACATGCCTTGCCAACTATGTTTATAATAGGAGGGAAAATTTTGTTACTTTAATTTTTTCAGTGAACCATTCCTTTAAAGAATAGAGCTTCTAGTAGGTTTTATTCATTAGGTATGTTGAAGACTAGCCATATTGAAAGGGATCATTTAACAAATCCAGTTGAGTTGGGTGAATAAATAATTTGTCCCTGAAATCTTCTGTTTGTTAATATGAATTTTAAATAATTATCCAGCATTTGTATTTATTCAAGCTAAGCTGTTTATAATACTGAAATGCTTCTGGCCATCCAAACATCTGATAATGCAAAGGGCTCCTTCCACATTCTGATGTGTAATAGAGGTGAAAGTAGAGAAAGTGTGCTTATATGGTAATACGTCCTCTTTGTGTTGGCGTGGGGTTTTCCTGTAGTGGTTTACAAGAGAGAGTGGGCTGTGTCTCAAATCAGCTGCTAGTTATGCACCTAGTGAACTTCTACCTAAACTAGGGGTCCCCAAACTTTTTGTCTTTGTGGGGCCAGGGTGCAATGTTGGTGATGGGCTGAGGGTGTAAGTGACAACACAATATAAAAATAAAGTCACATTGAATAAATAAAACAAAAATGATGTAACATTACACTGTATTTTTACTAAATTGTATAATACAATTTTAAAAGGAAAATAAGAACTGAGCAAGTTAGTTTAAAAATATCTTTCCTCATTGGGTGAGGGGGTGGAGTTCTGTGAAATTCTGGCTGGCCAAATTAAACATCCTCACGGGCCAATGTTTTGCAGGCCTTATCTAGGGAACGAAAGTCAGTGACCTGATGAGGTCATGAAGGGCCTGGATTTACTGGAAGTCAGGACACTTAAGGCCAAAACTTCAGCTGTTACACTGTGCACTCAACTTTAAGGGGAATTTTCTGCATAGTTCAACTCTTGAGATGTAAACAAAGTCATTTAGAGTGGTTTGGTGTGAAATGCTCTGTTCCAGAGAAGCTTAGTATTGTTCACAGTGGTGGTGATAAGAATCAGATGTTCACCTCTAAAAGCCCCCTCATAGAAAGTCATTACATTAAATGGTTATGATGCTGCCAGATGCCTGAGACATTTTTAGGACAGTTTTGAGGAGATTTTGGCCTGATTTTTTTTTTATCTGTTCATGGAGGAGAGATACATGCAGGGCATACTGAGGCAAAATATTCTCCAAAGACAACCTATTTTTTCATATTTATCACTACTTATCATCATCATAATTACATATAAAACTCAGAAGACGTGTAGGTTCACTGGTCTATTTGGATAGTAAATAAAATGGCTTTATTTGCATCATGACCCCTGGTTCCTATCACCACAACTGTAAAGAAATCAAAATCTAATAAAAGCCTGACAGCATATTACAGATTTTAGCATTTTAAAACACTCTGCAAAAGACAATACTACATTTGGACTCCCTAGACAATGGCTGATCGTCTGTTTAGTTTACTACATAAAGAAAACACGTGATCGATCATATACTCATCTGAACAGAATAAGAAATACTAGTGGTAAATGCATATTTAAATCTGAGGGTGGCTCTCTTATTCTCTTGAGGGGAATTCCACAGATTTTTTGATTATTTCTGCATAGTTCAGTGGTTATTCAGAGTTGTTTGATGTATTCATTTTATTTGCTATCCAAAACCACCAGTGAACCTACACTTGTCTTCAGAGTTTTTGTAATGTTTGTAGTGTTTTGTTCATGATGGTAAAATAGTAGTAAATCTGAAAAGAACATAGTCTTTGGGGACTATTTTGCCATACATGTGCTAGGCCAAAACCTTCTCAAAACTATCATAAAACAATCTCTCAAACATCAAGCAGTGTATTAATAGTCATTTTATGTAATAACTTGTGTTCGCCTAGTTCCTATCATCACCTCTGTGATGATACAAACGACTCTGAATTACTTTGTTTACATTTTATGATTCAATTATGCAGAAATTTGGAAAATCGACAGAATTCTCCTTTAAAGTACATTTTTAGTCACTTTTAAAATAGAAGATCTCTAAGGGCACAAAAATAGTACCATTTGGACTGTGGGATGTATTGGGTTACTTTAAGCTAAGTAAGAATATTCTAGTGTCTTTGAGATCATTTAATACCCTGGAAATGTTTGAATCACGAGTTACTCTCACTACGTAGGGAACAAGGAGTCGATTTGAGTCGCAACCAGTGAGAACGGTAAGTAAGTGCTTTAGCATAAATGACGCAGTTCCGTTCGTGGGCGGTCCGTGGATGTGCAAGAGCCAATGAGAGTGATGCATTTTATGAAACCACGCCCACATCGTACCATCGCCCTCCTGGGAGGGAGCCTCTGTTTTTACGGAAGATTGAAATGGGAAGTTTGATTCAGTTTAACAAATCAATCCGAACTTGATTCAATGGATCAAACGCCCACTTTAATGATTCATCGATTCACTAGTCAAGTCAACTTTATTCCTGCCTACACATACAAAGCTATTTCAGATTCTGGAAATTGTAGTTTTGCTTTAATGTCATTCTGTGCTTCTAAAACACCATGTTAACATCGTGTATGTATCCCACACAGTCAATAGACTTTAACATTGGCCACTGTCTTTTTGACATTATCCACTGGCTTACATCACATTATAGACATAAGTGACTCTGTTTACTGTACCCTTGACGTGTCTTCCTTGTATTATAACTACACTACAATGTCTGTTGTACGAAGTTGCACAAATATAGTTAATTTACTTGAATGTAACTGAAAACCTAAGCAATGCTAACTCCAGAGAGAAAATGTAAAACAATTCAAAGATGTTGTTTTTAGTATGTGATATTATAGGATTTTAAGCGGTTAAATTGTCAACGGTCATTTATTTGAAAATCATTAGAATCGGACGCCACCAAGAAAAGTTCGATTCAGTTGAACTTGTGAGTCAATTCCCTTCAGATCGATTCCCCACAAAGAGCTGATTCAAAAGAAAGGTTCGTTCACGAGTCGGCCGTCGCTAGTAGCAAGTACGCTAGCTGTACAGAAAGATGCGTATAAATGTTATTTAGGTAATGGAAAAGTGAATAAAGCAGAAGACACGTTTATCCTTGCAGCGTTGGGAGTTAAAACCGCGAGAAATTTGACTGTTATTATTTTTGTTTTGCTGGTTTTAGTCCCACAAACCTGAAGCACATTTTTCGGTGGGCAGGCTAGTTAGCTGGCATGCTAACGGTCTGTGCGTTGTGGCTTGTAATTAGCTTAGCAGATCAGCGGAAGGTGAGTCACTTTTGTTTGCTCAGAAACTAGCTCACTAATTTTATTAACGAAAGTAAAGACTTACTGTGTAATAAACGCCGAGAAGTATTGAAATAATTCAGTGATAAAGGCAAAGACGTTTGTAGCTCTAGTTTAGCTGCTTGAACTGAGCTAACCCTGATAGCAGCGTAAGCATAGCCAAATGTAAATAAAGCAAATAAACAAATATGGATTAACAAATGTTCAAAGTTCCTCGTATATAGACAGTTAAAAAGCATTTATCTGTGTCTTCTAACTCAGAGCATTGTTTTTACTCTGCACATGGTAAACAGATATTGTTTTGAGTACTGGAAGTCTATAAGCTGTTGAAGATGGACAGTATGGAGTGAAGAGGTAAGCTAGTTAGTTTATCACGTTGCTGTTGTTATCATCATCATCATCATTATTATTATTACTAAATAACTTATTATTTTGTAAACGTCGAAGATAGACATTACAGAGTAAAAAGATGAGCTAGTTATTATTGCAGACAGATCTAAATAGTAAGGCAGTTTATTATTCTATAAACAGTCAGAGATGGACGTTAAAGTAGAACTTAACCGATTTTTAAAAATTCGACATGGTTAAATAGTTCAGATGTGAACAGATCATTCAGAGTGGTTTGATGTTAAATGCTGCCAAGTCAGAATTGTTCATAGAGGTGGTGATAGGAACCAGACACCTGAAAAGTTTAATGCCTCCCTCACAGGAATATATCACATGAAATTGTTAGATTTACCCTGCCTGGTGTCTGAGACATTGTTTTATTATAGTTTTGTGATAAAGGTTTGGCTTAAAATTGTTTTAATTCGTTTATTTTAATCCATTTATGCCAGAGAAGTCTCTTTAAAGAAAACGTAGTATCAGATTTATGACTGTTTTACTATAATTAACATTACATGCAAAAACTTAGAAGGCCATGTAGGTTCACTGGTGGCTTTGGATAGTAAATAAAATGGCTATATTTGTGTTGTAAACATCATGGCCCCTGGTTCCTATCACCACCACTGTAAAGAAATCAGAGTCTGCAAGTTTCTTTACAATCAGCCACTTCACATCAAAGCACTCTGAATGAATATATTTACATGAAACAACTCTGAATACTCTTAAAAAGGGTAAATCTGTTTATCGATGCTGTTCAACAAACTGCCAGACTTTTAATCCAGAAAATTGTATGTGTTTCCTTGCTGTTTTGATTTCAGCCAGACTGACTGCAGATTGATTATGAAATCAGATTTTTACTGAGGATAACTATGGAGCTGTACTGGTACATGTAAGTCTTGGAAATGCTAATTTTAAATCATTAAAGCCACTACTGTTTATTCATTTGGCTAGATTTTTAGTCCAGAATGAATTTGCCATGATCTGTTAATAAACTATTTGTTAGATATCCTGGGCTACATCAACCCATTCATGTGAATTAAATTTATTATGATGAGAATAAATTCCACAGAACTTGTTCTGATTGGATTTAAAATATATATGTAGCTCTATCTTGGATGAACATCGAACACCTATATTTTTTGTACTTTTATCCAAGGCAAATGTATACAAAATTTGATTTTAGATAGGTCTACCTATAATTTTCATATTTTTTGTTCATAATCAGATGTGGATTTTCTATCATTTGTTAAATAGTAATAGTATTATATTTGGTAATAGTAGTTTAATGTGAATACAACGCAGAATTAAAAAGATAAGTCATTTTTTTTAGCCATGTAGTTTAATCAGCAGCAGTTTGTTTGTTATTGAGCAGTTAAGTGTTGTGAAAGATGTGCATATAAGAAGAAAGTATGAAGTGGGAACCTGTTCTGAGAGCATGTATTACTCATAAATATGTAATATAATAGTAGCGTAATAATAGAGTGTTAATAAGTTAGCAGGTTCTTATGAATTGTGTTCATTGCCCAAAGTTAATTTTTGAACTTTTTTATGTTCATCTTTTCAGAGTTGTCATAATATTTATTATGATAAAGATCTTCTTCTACATCTGCTGGTACCGCTCAAGACAGAGGCAGCTTGCTGCTTACCTCAGTAATCCCCGCAATGCACAGATCGTTATTGTGGGTGGAAGAGCCTATCTACACCAGATGTGTGAGAGACAAAATGTAAGTATTCTACTGTTCCATCTGGAAATTACCCTGCACTGCTGCATTGCTTTCACTGGTCTGAGTAATTCAGTTTCTAAGTTTCTTATCAGGTCAAAGTCCCAGCCAAACTGAACGTAAATATTAGAGTTGGCACGATACCACTTTCTTTTCAGATATTGATACCGATACTGAGACCTTGAATATCAGCCGATACCAGTACCAATTTCAGGTTTTTTTTTTTCTATAAAAACTGCTTTAGCTTTGAAATGAGCTATTTTTAATTCAAGTACTTCGCTTATAAAACGCCATACTCAGACAGCTTAAACAACACTGGAAGATACAGAAAGAAAAGAAATAGCTAACAATGTGACAGATTCATAGTGTTTTATTATTATTATTATTATTATTATTATTATCATCATTAATTTAAACTACAAACAGTCAGACTGTTATTTTTGTTTTACAGATTAGGCTCACTAACCTCAACCACATTTTTTTTGTTTGGCAGGCTAATTAGTTGGCATGCTAATGGTCTGCGTGTTTTGAGGTGTAATTAGCTTAGCAGATTGAGTTTTGTTAGCTCATAAACTAGCAGACTAATTTTTAACAGAAATAGAGTCAGAACTGTATCATAAACCATGTTAAATATTAAGATAATTTAGTCATAAAGGCAAAGAAATTGTAAATGTAGTGTAATACTCAGCAAGTTACTTACTGTTCTGATGCTAATGTCAAACTGTAATTAGATGCTGTCATTATCACATGTCCTACTTTGCTTTATGTTGCGCTAAAAGCAATTTCAAGATGTTTCAGGCTAGATGTTTTGTATGGGATTTGTTCTTTTTAATCTTTTATATCTGCAGTTTCTGCTAATGTCAGTCCAGTAATAAATGCACTTGTACGCAAAAATTTGGCCACCCCTCAACAAATTCTGCACAATTTCTAAGCAAAATTTTCTGGGTCTTAGAGATCACTTATTAATAAGTGTTGAAGTTGTAAAATGTATAAATATGATTCTCAGGCTTTGAAAATATCCTGTATATGTTATTTTGTTTAGGTAAAAAAAGGTCATATTCTACACTTTTAAATTATTTAAAATACAAACTTTGACAGAGTGTCCAAAGTTGAATAAGACCAGTTGAAATTTATGTTTAAGTAATGATTTATAAAACAGGATTTTATTTGAAAACATATGTAGATTGATGCATGTTTCCAACCTGATGTACAAACTTCTGGCAGTCAGTCACTGTGATAGGCTTAGTTAACCAAGCTCCAGAGCTAAATCATGAGTGGGGGCATCTGCAAAGGGACTGTGAGGGGCCTCTGTGGAGAGAATCAACAGCAAGTTACCAAATAAGGGTTAAGAAATCTGCAGATTAATAAAAAGATGCATTCAGACTCTACTATGTCTTTCAGCTTAGCCTATTATACTACCATTTGTACATGTTTCTGTAATGACTGGCAGCAAAAAACAAAGTGAAACTGAACTTTGTGTGCACTGCCTCTGCTTCAGTTTAACTGTGATTGCTTTTGCCACCTCAGTATAGAAGCAAGTACAAATTATAGTGGGTTATGACCCCCTGATGCCGGGCCTGTGTAACTTATTTCAACAGATGTATTTCATAAGGAATCTAGCCTACTTCATTAAAACCATGCATGTATTCAGTTGAAAAATCAATTAGGCAACGTGATAAATAATTAAATCACTAAAGTAATTAAAAAATTAATACATTTTACAAGTGGACACCTAATATCATGTGGCTCTGCTGAAGGGATACACTGTGGCACTTCCGGTGATGTAGGTCTGTTTTCTTGTTGGATTGTTGTAAGTAATTTAAAATGAGATCAGGACATTACATTCCTCGCAAAAAATAAACCAGACTGACGCAGGTAGTTATATTGGCTATATTGGACAGGCAGACTCATCCTTCTCTTTTACTATATCTTTACTTATGTACATTTACATTACCTTTTTTCCCCTGTTTTTATGTATAATATAAAAAACATAAAACACACCATTTAGTAAGCCTGTTAAACCAGAGAGTCTGTAGAAGAGTTTCCATGTATGGAAGAATTTCCATGTATGGACTAGGGAGTAAATGGCGAATTTTAAAACTTTAATGTTTACATACTTTACTATTAACTCATTTATTTAAAAAAAAAGATTAAAATTCAGTTTTCCATGGTGTTCCTTTATTCTAGCTCCTTGTTGTGTGTTTTTATTTATTTATTTATTGATTTATGTATATATGTATGTATATGTATGTTTGTATATATAAATGTATTTTCTAGAGCCTGTGAAAAGTCAGCAGTAGCCAGAACAGCAAAACTGCGTGGAGTAGTGCAATAATAGGGGCCAAGCACTGAAGCTGCTTCTGTTGACAGCTCAAGCTAACCAACATATATGGCCTGCCTGCAGCTATCCAGTTCATATACATGATTCAAACAACACACAACATAAAGCTGGTAGCTCACAGTTTATAAGGTTTTTTTGTGGTTGAGCTAAGCACCATAAGCTAATCAGTAGCTAACAAAACACATTTGTAGGCTATAGCTTAATGCTACTCTACTGAACAGAAGCAACATGACGTTTATAAGAGTTTCAGAATTGTGTTCATTTAAGATGTAAACTTCGTTTAGGATGGTTTAATCTTTGCTGTATCGTTTTAGCAATGACTCCGGTGCGCTTGGTTAAAATTAAGTGAAGTCAAAAACTTGGAGTTGTGCATCACAAAGTAGGGCCGGAACAAGTTGTGCTATTGTGCCCTCATGCGTACAATTTAAAAGCGGCCTTAGCGCAATAAAAACCTGCCTATTTAAATATCTGTTGTTTGTCGACAATTAAATTTAATTTTTAACTAAAACATTTGTTGGAACGTTTAGGTTTTTGCCAGTTAAGTTATTCATTAACATCTCTGTATAATATACTACTACAGTGACACAATAATGTTATTACATAATGCAGTTACAATAGTACAAAGATGCTTTTAGATACCATTACAGTGTTGCTGTTTCAGTGCGGCAAAGATTCGATTACATAATTTGATACTGTTGAGGACTAGAATTTGAAGTAAAGAGAAATTATGTTTGCAGTTTTTTTCCTACACAAAAGTATTTTATACTAAAAAACAGAAGAAGTTGAAAGAAGTAGACTTCTCTCAAGCGTAATTGTGAAACTGAAAATATGTCAAGAACATTAGTTTTGCTGTACCTTGTCAGATACCGATTTGAAGAACTGCTGTGTTCTACCTTTTTCTCAAGAAATTTAGGATAAGCTGTATTTTTAGGTCATCAGAGATCTCTTATCACAGGAAATCCTCAGTTCAGCAAACAACACGCAAGAGTTAAAGAAGTTGCACTGATATAACTATGCTACTATGTGAAAGATTCTTACAGACCTTTTGTGAGGATTTTTTATGTTGGTGGATCAATCGCTAATCGTACGTGTGTCATTGTATAGGTTCAGTGAAGTGTATCACAGTATTCTTTTTTTTTTTTATCTCTTGATCTTTGTCTCATAAAGATCGCCTTATATGATCTTTGTTTGACACCAAACAAACACATCTGTTGGGGAAACCTCTTGAAACAACTCAAATGTCATTCTGTGGTCTCTGAAACATCTGTAATGCTGCGTTTACATGAAGGCAAACCGGATGTTCCATTGTTTTCTGTGCAACGGAAAATTATGCCACTGCCAGCTGCAACATTCCCATGACCGCAGTGGTGAGCGGAACGTTCCGTCAAGGGTTCAGATTTCCTAACTTCTGCTGTCAGCAGCAGCGGTGAAATAAACAGATTTCTGCGGAGTCACAAATGCCGAACTTCTAATTGTTGAAGTCCAGGATCAACCTGTATTATACAAAAAAAAAAAACTAAAGAACAGACAGCATCTTCCTGAGGAATTATCATTGCTGAAGCTCTCCTCTGATAATCGTCCATTTTCCCCGGTGTCACCATGTGAATGCAGCATTAAATTGGAATGGAGAGCGAAGTCTCAAATCTAATACAAGAAATACTTGCTAATAGTATATTTAGATCTACAGCGCTAGGAAGCTAGATAATTTAATGATTATTCAATACTATTTTAGTAAATGCAAGCAAGCTGCCGCCGCTGTTTTCCATTCCTGCCAAGTGGCTGAAACCTGGTTAGACTACTGCTTATATTCACAGCCAGTGATGTATCTAGAACCTTCAGAAGGCCTTGAGTGACTGTTTTCTAACCCCATTGTCAATAGAAATGTGGTTAAATCCTCTGTTACTTCCTATTTTTGCTGTTAGTTAATCTAATGTGTAAGGCCTTCACTGCAGCTTCTGAAGTTCCAGTTTAGCTGTAACTGCCTAGGGACCACAGAGAAAAAGTCCTGATTGAACAATTTTTCATGGAATATTTCAAGAATCTAGCCCCTTCGTTTCAACAAAAAATGTAACAATGAAGTAGCATTATTACTACAGTACTTGCTGATTTTAAATGCAACAAGCATGATGATTGTTAAATAAAAACTACTTTTTTTTTGAAGGTCTAGAAGGGCCTGATGGCTCCCCTCTGCAAATTGGCTATGTGTGATAAGCAAATGCAAAGCAAATGCACAAGCATGCAAGCACACAGTCATCCTGAAAGTGAAAGTTTGTAAGCTACTTGGCCATGTGATTGTCTGACATTTGTTTCGGAGGGTTGAATTAGCCATTGTTGTTTCTTACTTCCTCACCCAGCATTGCCACTTCTCTTAATTATCAATTGAGTGATTCATTTAGCTCATCAGGGGTTCCTTGCTTATGTAGGGCAGACAGAATCACATAGATTTCACCTTGAGTCAAATTCTGGCAAACCAAATACAGTGGAGAAATTGAAAAGTATGGCTTTATAATGCCGTCATTCCAAAATTCTTAATTGGCCTTTTTATCTGCAATTAAAATAGCCGCTGTTGTAAAGAACACGGTTGCTTTTGCTAACACAGCTCACACAGCCCCATGCTCTGCTGTCTGCTGAGAAAATGACGCTTTTTATTAGGTAGTGCTAGAATGTGGTTGTGTGTTTCTGTAGCTCCTTGTGGTAGGACATTATTCAGTGCTTTTTATAGATTGGACATGATTTTAATACAATTGAAAATGTGGGATGTTTTGGGGCTGGAGAAAACTTGCTCATGGACTGAGTCTGGCCCACAGGCTTACATTATTATTAAGTGCCATCAAGTGGATTCTAGCTCCTGGTGACCATATGGATAGTGTTTCTCCAGAATGTCCTGTCATCTGTTTGGGTCTTCAGGCTTCTTAATGGCTTGTTTATGATTTCTCTGATTGTCATCCTCATCTAATTCAACTGTTCCAAGCATAACTGTCTTTTCTAGTGAATTGGTTTGGCTTGTCATTGCATAATATGTCTAAATAAGAGCTTCAGTTTGGTTATCTGGCCTTTGAGTGAGAAAGGAGACTTGACTTGGTCCCAGATCCCTTTTTTTCTGGACGTAAAGTGTACTCTTTTTATTGTCCAGTTTGACGTCCATAATCACAGAAAATACCACAACCAGCACAATTCTGATCTTTGTTTGTAGAGTCATTACATGTGAAGATCTTTTCAAGCTCATTCATCCTTGTCGTATTTCTTGACTGCTAAGCAGGCAAAAACTGTCCACCATTTAAACATCTTCACCATAAATGTTTGTTACTGCTCTTTGCTCTTGTCATAGCCTTTGTTTTCTTCATGCTGAGCTGAAACCCCATGGTTTCTTGCAGACTGCAAAGTCTTGATGTATGATATGAATTAAAAAGTAGAGAACATAAATTTCTTACTGTGCTAGAAATTGAAGACTGGTGCCTGGTGACTGATGTGTTTAGGATGTCAAGTCAAATCAAATTTATTTATATAGCACCAACAGATGTTGTCACAAAGCAGCTTTACAGAGACAGATAGTTACATAGATACAGGGGGACAGATAGTTAGTTCTGTTATGGGTGACCGAACAGAACAGAGAGTTGGCAGAGTGCAGCGGTAGGCCTGGCTATGGCAACATAACTAAGAGGGAGAGCCAGAAGGTAACAGGACATGAGGGCTCCCTGAGAAGTCAGCACCCCTCTGCTCCATCGTGAACAAACTTGAGTGAATGCATAAGAGCAGTGGGTTGACAGCACCAACATTTCCAGATTATCATAAGACTCTCTGTCCGTGAACCCCCAGATCTGCACCTATTTCTAACAGGAAAACTAATTAACCAAAACTCGACTAAACAGGTACGTTTTTAGCCTAGACTTAAAGATGGAGGCTGCGTCTGAGTTACGAACACTGACTGGTAGGTTATTCCAAAGCTGGGGGGTGCGTTGTGTGTATGAGATTGAAACAATGAATTAGTAGTTGGAGCAACTAATGCAACTAGTGTTGTTAAGAATCTGTTAACATTTCTGTTCTCTCACCATCAGTTTATCGTGTTTTCATGATGAAAAGTGGCAATTAAGATCTTCCATCTCAGTATGTTTTATATTTGACATCACTGTGTGTGGGTGATTTTAACTCCCACTTCTGCTCTGTTCCACAGACATCAATCTGGCCAAGCTGGTATGGAGTGCAGGATGACGGATCAGTGGGTGAACCTTCCGCCTCTCTTCCACCAGCTTCATCCCTCTCTCATCTAGACATGCCTCCTCCATACGAGGCTGTGTCTGGAGGTAAGACCAACAGCTCCAATAACCTCTGAGATAAATGTCTGCTTTTGGTGATTTCAGAATGCTGTCACAGCCTCTCAGGGTCTGTATGGGGGTCTACGTTTTAATTCCTCATCCCATAGCTACACAACACACTATTTTAATAGTAGGTACTAGGGCTGAACGATATGGCAAAAAAATCGAATCGCAAATTTTTCTGACCAATTGTGATTACGATTTGAAATGTAATTACATGTCCATAAATATTTGAGTATCATAACCGTTACACATAAAAACGATCAATTGGAGGTCCTTGAGTTGTAGCAGAATGTTAAATTATTCAGTATTTTGGCTTTATTTTACCCTTGTTCTCATTAGTGCCAATTAACATAAGTTATAGGGTCACTCGAATCAAACTGATTCATAAATTAACATAATTAAGGTATAGGGTCACTCAAAGCAAAATGATTCATAAATTAACAAAGTTATAGGGTCACTCAAATCGAAATGATTCATAAATTAACAAAGGTATAGGGTCACTCAAAGTGAAATGATTCATAAATTAACAAAGGTATAGGGTCACTCAAAGTGAAATGATTCATAAATTAACAAAGGTATAGGGTCACTCAAAGTGAAATGATTCATAAATTAACATAATAAAGGTATAGGGTCACTCAAAGTGAAAATGATTCATAAATATTAAACAAAGGTATAGGGTCACTCAAAGTGAAATGATACATAAATTAACAAAGGTATAGGGCCACTCAAAGTGAAATGATTCATAAATTAACAAAGGTATAGGGTCACTCAAATCAAAATGATTCATAAATTAACAAAGGTATAGGGTCACTCAAAGTAAAATGATACATAAATTAACAAAGGTATAGGGTGAAATGATTCATAAATTAACATAATAAAGGTATAGGGTCACTCAAAGCAAAATGATTCGTAAATTATTATAATAAAGGTATAGGGTCACTCAAAGCAAAGTGATTCATAAATTAACATAAAGGTATAGGGTCACTCAAAGCAAAGTGATTCATAAATTAACATAATAAAGGTATAGGGTCACTCAGAGCAAAATGATTAGTAAATTATTATAATAAAGGTATAGAGTCACTCAAAGCAAAATGATTCATAAATTAACATAATTAAGGTATAGGGTCACTCAAAGCAAAATGATTCATAAATTAACATAATTAAGGTATAGGGTCACTCAAAGCAAAATGATTCGTAAATTATTATACTAAAGGTATAGGGTCACTCAAAGCAAAGTGATTCATAAATTAACATAAAGGTATAGGGTCACTCAAAGCAAAGTGATTCATAAATTAACATAATTAAGGTATAGGGTCACTCAGAGCAAAATGATTCTAGTTTAAAGTCCAAGTTAGCTAAAAATCCAAAATATTCTCAAGTCTGAAAATCTGACTAACCAATTCAATAGAATGATCCATATAGGCAAGAACTGTTTCATTTACTACATCACAGTAAATGCAAAAATTAATGAATGAATTCATTTTAACATCATAACTATTTTCTGAAGTTGTGTTCTGTCATATACAGGGTTTACAGTCTTTTGAACATGAAAATCTGTGAGGAATTTTAGGTGTAAGAAATTTATAACAAAGCTCAATCCCTAAACTCTTTGCTAAGCCTGGGGACAGCTGGCTGGAGGGGATTGTTTGCAGAAAGTTGTAGCAGTTTACATGGCCTTAGGTCATTGAGAGGTTAAAGACATCAACATAAATCTCTGCTATTTTTATTCGAGAGAGTATTTTTGGCTGTATATCGAGCTGTGCACGTGGTTAAGTGGGGCAAATAAACAGAGGCAAAGGGTAGAAATGCCCCCATATTCAGTGTTTTTGCCATTTAAAACATGAGGACAGAGGCAAAAAAGTGCCCCTGTGAATGTAATAAATCAGGAACAAACTACTAAATGAAATAAACCAGTGGGAACGAATATCATCGCTTTGCAGACTTCACCAACACCATTTCTATACCATTTTCAGTAAAACAGAAAAGACATTAAATCTGAATGCTTAATTTTTAAGCTTAATATTCAGTTGCAGTGTTATGTTTTGCGAAGTGCCCCCATTTGTTTATAAAATATCCCTGCATGTCAGCCAGTGAGGGCAAAAATTGCCTCGGATTGAGACCAGCACATCATCCAAATTTAGATTGATGTCTCTTAATTATCAGGTTTCAGAAGGGACATGTTGCAAAGACTATTTTAGCGTGCCACGCACCAGATTGTAAGCGGAAGATGTGTCCAAGGGGCAGATGAGTCTCAAACTTGGAAAAATAACAGTCTTCATAAACTTGTATGAAGTTTAGTTGGTAGCATGAGTGATTCACTGATGTTTATTCACTAGTCTTGTGGGGCTAGACATCATCTTGCAATGAGTATACACGTCTCAGGACAACTTGTTACGCCTAGGACGCATTAAGTCTACGTTTAAGAACAACTCTCTATAGCAGAGTTTGTAGTAGTCTAAAAGTGTAAAACTGCATTGTATAAAGTAAAAAATATATTGTTTGAATGTATTATATGCTTCAGATGTCTGTGTTTAGGCTAAACCTAGAATGAGAAAGTGAAAACGAACCACTGTCAGCTGTGCTAGGTGGGTAAAAAGCCGACTTAAAAGTGAACATGAAGTGAAGAGTACATTAAACAGTGAAATACAATGCATATTTTTGTAATTATGAGAATACATTAAGTCTATGAAATATTTGAGCATCCATGGTTTATTTTATCAGAGCACCTTGAGAGCGCTTTTGCATTCATGTTTATGCGTAACAATATACATACATTTGTTTACAAGCCTAGGTAGCATAACACTGTCATCACCTAACATCTTGTTTCTTAACAACAGGTGATATTTGTGACTTTTCAGCTAACTTATGTTACTTATGAGCTAAGGACAGGCTTGTTGTCTGTCAGACAGTGTTTATGAGCACAGTACCCCTACTTTGACCTCCATCTTCCTGAGATGTTGGATTGGTTTAGAAGTTTCACACTCAATTTGTTTACAGCCCCAATAAGTCTTTGTTCCCTCCCACATTTAGCCAAAATTTCTCATGATTGTCCCCAGACATTCTCATTATGACACCCTGCGAGACTCTTTCACCAGTGTGGGGAGTTTTGGAGCCATTGAGTGGACTGAGAACAGCTGGTGAAAGCTCTTTTTCTCTTATACTGTGGCTTTGGAACGTTTAAAATGGCCAGCTTCTTTATAACTAGGTGTGGGCGTCATGACAGTGTTATCGTTTTTGTGATGAATTATGTCTTTCCTGAGTACAAAGTGGATAACATCATTACTTCTAGAACACTGAACAACTGTGTGGATCATTAAAAGACAGATTTAGTCCAATTATAAAGAGCCTGTAAACAACAACTACCATCGTAACTGCATAAACTCCATAATAACCAAGTAGGTGATTGGATGGCTGCCCATTATGACATCATCTTGTTTTATGAATTTATAACAGAAGTGAGAAGTGCAGACTTAAACCTGTCACTACGGAATGTAAATGTAGTTTATTATGTAATTACATTGAAATGTTCTATCAAATTAACAGTGATAAATCTAGACTAGTGGTTTCAAACTTCAGGGGGAGACTCAAGGTTTTTATTTTTAAACAGCGCGGAATGCTGGATGTAATCAGCCGACAGGATGTGGCTGTGACTATGTTGCATTCAGAGCGACACAAGAACTAAAAAAACCTGCCTGATCACCATTTCCTTCCCTTCTGGCTAACGGTTCACGTTCTGTAGTACATGCTTCTACAAACCAGGTTTCCGCATTATCAGTAGATAACTTCAGCTGACTCTAGTAAACGTATTCTTTCAAAAAGAAACTTAAGTAGAAGTGCAGTGGTATCAGGTCAAAAAATATACTCTGCAGACTCAAAGGCAAAGGTTAAAGCAGAGAGTCTAGGCTAAAGCCACAAACAACATAACTTGTTACTACTTAAGGTGATCTAAAGTGGGTTTAGTTTAATAGTATTATAGTTCCAGTAAACAAATATGCATGTCAGAATGTGAAAATGTATCTTCTCTGCTGCATTTTAACCTCCATCTCTGCTGCCTTTTTGCCTCCATCAGTAACACTGTCATGTACCGCAGAGCTGATGAAATAATTGCACTCATGTGGCCTTGTAAGTTTCCAAACCTACATATGAATTGACATTATGCCAAGGAAATGACTTGGCAACAATGGCATTTGTGTTTTCTGCAGGTCATTAAAGTTTTCTCATAAGATGGAAACAGGAAGGTAGACGTCATGGATAGTAGTCACTTGCTGGCTGGTTCATTGATAGATTATTTTAAAGTTTTAAGTGCGTCACAAGATGATAAGTTTTGATCTTTGGATAGGAGTCAGCATTGTGATTTGACTGTGTAACCACTGGAGAAAAACACAAAAATGTCCAGTACACTGGCTTCTCACAAATAGTTCTGCCTTATATTTTATTTTTTGTCATTTGAATTATTGTTGTAGCTCAGTTCAGAATTTTTCAACCCTGCTCCTCAGGAACGCTTGACTTGCATATGTGACATCTAGCTGCAACACCGCAGAACAAAGCCTCGGCTTGGGCGCAAGAAGCCCCGGTTTGGGCGGAAGTTAGCCAACTGGCTATAGATTTATCTAAGTGAACTGGCTTGCTGAAGTGTTGGGGAGAAAGCTCACATAATCAATAGGTAAATGTTTGTTAGCACAAAAAATTTGTTTCAGAGAAAGTACGCTGTAGACTCCCAACCTCTGGGCCATGTGTCTGTACAGGGCTGTGGGCTGTTTGATGCTGGTCTGCAATAATGCAGTGCAGTACCATGTAGGGGTAACATCACGTCTGTGTATGGCTGTGTGTGTGTGTGTGTGTGTGTGTGTGTGTGTGTGTGTGTGTGTGTGTGTGTGTGTGTTTTTTGTGAGTTGCTGTTGGCTGCTTTTAGTTGATGGCTAGCATAAGAGAAGAAGAAAAAATAAGGAAAATGACATTAACAAACTAAAAAAACAAAGCTAATGAACAAACTAACACCCCTACAAACTAAAAAACCCAAAAACATTGAAGACAAAAATGAAAATGAAACAAGAGGAAAGAACATATTCAATATAAAACAACTGCTGATAGCTACATAAAATAGAGGTTGTCACTAGAGGATGCTAATGCACCAAATTCATTTTGGACCGTTTGCGGGGAAAACGATAACGAATGAGGCTATAAAGACGTACAGTCACTTCGTTTGAAGTTGAGACTTTGCCCAGCCTAAGCTTGGCTGGATAGTACTGGCATATTTTAGTGTTTTTATACTTTTAACACACCTATTTAAGCTCAAGAGTAGCTTGCCAATAGCTTCTGAGAAGTGAGGACCAAGGTTGGGGAATATATCAAGAACCAGCTAGTTGTAGCATGTAATTCAGCTGTACCTGAAAGCATGATTCATAATAACAATAGTCAACACATTACTAATTTACCTCATGAAGCACGTTGCTTCATGTATCTCTAAAGGAGCTAGAGTAATTACTGAGCGAGGGATGATGTTGAGGAAACGAAGGAGATAAATCAAAAGGGTGCGGCGCTACCACATTGATTTTGGAATGTTAAGATCTATTAAAATCACTGACAATGTTCAATAAAGTTATTTTTTGGCCAAAATAAAGTTATTGGGCTATTTCCAAATGTGAAAACAACAACACTGAATTCGATTAGTTGATTAGCAACAAAAATAAACAATTCTATCCTAGATCTGTCCTATCAGTGTGAGATATAAAGTAAATATTGAAATTAACTCTGTAAATGTAGGTATTGTGATATAAACTGAGTCGTGTTCTACAGTTTCTCCTTAGGTTGAATGAATAACTGACTCTAAATGTAGGTATTTTATGAGCTGTGTAGTAAGCCTGGGCGATGTTATCGGATATCGTTGTTGAAGGGTAAGTAACCCGATGGCAATATGTAGAAGGAGAAAAAGAACAGAGAGAGAGCTGGATAGGACTCCATTACTATTAAACAGCTTGTAAATATTGTAGCGTTTTATGCTATTGAAGAAGACACAGCAGTTTCTACCAAACTGTTGAGCTGTATCTGGTTCTAGCTTTGCCTCATACATGGAATGGTTCTTCCGTCACTCTCAGCCTCGCTACCTCTTGCTTGGCCGCCAAAGAAAAAACAGCAGAACAACTAATCCAGAATAAACATGTAAATATTTTCTGAAATCGTTGCAATGTGTTGGGAAAACTGGGGTTCACGTTTAAGAACACACTCCAATAGTGAGTTTTTTTTTGTTTTTTTTTCATCTGTATGTCTGAGAGAAGGGGTTGTGGGACTGTTCAGTTGTCTTGTCCTCTCGGCTTGATGTTATTGATAAGCACGATTTTTAAACTAGACAATATCATGCTGTTAAAGAACATGTTTGGAGGACTGCATGCAATCTTGGAAAGCGAAATGATCTTCAAACTAGAGAAATAATTAATATTTCTCATATTTAGATTAGATTTAGATTTTTTAACTTTGTCATTTTATGTAGGAAAAGTCTTATTCCATTTGCAGAGAGTTTTGCTTGTTTCCCAGTTTAATAAGACATTTTCACTAGATAAAATGATTTAAGTAAAAATCTAAAGTAATAAGTTAAATCATAAAAGGCAATTCTGAATCACACTAAAATAACAAAAAAGAAATCAAAGTGGGCTCAATTTTGAGATTTAATCATGCACTCAGTCATTTCCCTAGAAATCGTAATCAAACTGAATCATTATGAGGTACAAATTGCAGCCCTGGGGAACCATTGGGGCCCCAAAGCAAGCAAACCTAGAACAAACCTGTTCCATTGTTAAACACAAGCAGGCTTGTATGTGTAGGTGTGCAGTGGCTAGCAGAATGCATGCAGGTTTCCTGAAGTTGGACAATATCTCATATTTTCGATGAGTCACTGAGCAGTAAAAGCAGCAGTGCAAGTGCCGCGATGCAGGTCAGCTTGTTTATACCAGCTCAGGGACAGCATAGAGCTCTGCAGGGTGTTTTCCAGGCCGTGCCGGTTGTGACATGTTTCTGAGTTGAGTGGGCTGGTGCCTCTGCTTTCCACTCTTAATATAGGGTTAACCTTTATGAAGTGTTATGTGGTAAAAGAAACAAAAAATTGTAGTTTAGAACTTTCAGATCTGTATAGTCCTGCGTACAGTTGCATATATAATCTGTGGAAGACCTTTGCTGCCACTTAAAGGAGAATTTTTTTGAAAATAAGTAATTATTTTAAGATAACTAAGTCATTACTTTGGCACTGCTGCCACAAAAGTTTATAAAAAATGTGTTGGCTATTTTTTCTCCTCTCCATGGCAGGAATGGACTTGGAATCAAATAGGAAAAATTTGAAATTGTGTACTATAATTTGCAGAGAAATATATTTAAATATAGAAAAATACATTTAAATGCTATATTTCACTGTGTTCCCTGTAGAAGATGTTATTTTCAATTAAAAAAAACACATGAAATTTGATCAGTGATGTTGAGACTTTAGCATAAGACTTCATGTATTATGTTATTATATGTAAATAACATAGAAATACAACAGTAATAGCTCTAGACAACTAAAGGTTAAGTATGTCATTGTATCTCCACTATAACTCTCTTTCTTTCTTCTCTTTACAGCAAATGACTTGAAGCCTCCTCCATATAGTGAATACGCTCAGAACGATGACACTGATGCCTCTCTGAGCATCGCCATCCCCGAGGGAAACGATTCCAGCACCATCACTGATGACCCACCTCCATACACACCCAGCGCTGTCTCTCCAGCCAGCCAGCAAGCAGACACCAGCATTCAGGGCCAACTGGAGGCTGAAGGCAGATCCAGCTAGTCTTTTTCATCGCCAACTCTCAATTTTGTCCACTTCTGAACACAGCAAGGGCTGTATTTATCCATGCAGAGGTTTCTTTTCAGCCCCAGCTTTGAGTTACGGTCTTGATTTTTTTCTTAGTTTTCTAATCCAGGAGGTAATGTTGTTGGTAAGGGTGTTGAAATAGGAAAATTGTGATGTGGTAAGAACAATCAAACAGATCTGGTGCCCTCCTGTGGTGAGATGTGGTATTGTGTGACCTCCAGTGATGTAAAGGGTGCTTTTAGCTCACCCATGCCTTATTGTGGTTTCCTCTTATATAACCAGCATCATGCTAGCACATAATTATGTAACACACGTGCACATGCAGTAATCTAGTCCTATAATGCATTTTTTTCTGACTTTGTTGGGAATTTTTTTATTTCTTCTGTGTAATCCTGAAGACTGATGCCATGGATTCAGCAGCCTACAGCTTCCAGTCGTAGTGGCTTGAATTAACTGTACATAGGCTTGTGGATTGATCAGTGCCATTTCAAAAAAAAACAAAAAAAAAAACAGATTCCTCAGAGACAATGTTGTAGACACGTAGTGATAATGTTTTCTCTCTTGTCTAAAGGCCCAAAGGGAGAGCATTATGTATAGAGGTTTAACCTCACCTTCATACATAACCTCAGTTTGTATGTGATGACAATTTCAAAAAACTATCCCTCAGCACTTTTATGTCTTGTAATTGCCTTACTTTTGTCTGTTTGTAAGTGACAAGTATAATCATCGGAGTCAGTGTGGCTCTTGGCCTAATGAAGTTGTGTGTAAATGCAGGGAGTTTGACTCCTACACTCTTTAGCTTCTGGCTTTTCAGGTGACAGTAATGATTTTTATGCATTTGGGCCACAGTACCCACATAAATGAACTCTGCTTACTTTTAAATAACTTAATTTTTTTTGTCTGTGTGTATGGTAATGATGTATGCCAAATATGTGATCTAACATGTTTCGTTTTCGTATTAATGTTGTTGTGTTTTGAAGAATGTATGAGGTCAACTGTGTGCAGTTGTGAATTTATCAGGTTAACGTAATGGGATCAATACGTTTTTTTATTAAACTATCAAGATAAAAGAAGTTGATCTGTGTCTACTTGTAGACATTGTATCTCCCTCATATCTCACAGTATAATTTGACATCATTTATTTGCAAAGTCTTAATACTGCTTTATTGTTGTTACTGAATAGTACTGTACATTAGGGCTGTCTAGATTATTTGATTAAAAAATGAAACAAAATGTACATTCTTGATGAATCAGCTCAGTAATTAGTTCACATTTAAATGATAGGGTTTTCACTGTGTTTGGCAGACTGAAGATTCTCCACAAGCTCCTTAGCACTCAAACCGCTTTTGTGTGCATCACTGAAAGAGAGGAAACCCACACCAGCAGGATCTTGTATAAGTTTGTAGTTAAAAGTTGCATATATTGGAAGTAAAATTAAATGTTTGATGTTACAAATTGTATGTATACTAAGTAAATGTGTATATGAAGTAAAAGGTTTCATTTGACTAGGCCTAGGCTGCACAGCTCAGTAGCTAACAGGCTAACACTACTCCGATAATATTCAGTTTGGCTTTACTGAAGGATTCATTCTAAAACTGCAACATGACACTTAAATGTCTGTTACAAGCTTCGAATGTCTTTTTAGGTGCTAACAAAATACTGAAAGCTCCATAGAAGCACTAACAGATTGGCATAGTCATAGCGTACTTAAGCTATCGATATAGTGAAGATGTATTAAACCAGGAGAGGCTGTGCATTACTGTGACTTTATCATGGAGTGTTCTTGGCCACAATGTGAAGGAGAATAAATCCCCCTTACTCAGGGTAGAATCAATGTAATGCATTGGCTTTACCTGCTCCGTGTTGGTCCGGTGGGGGTCCTGATCATTGAAGAACAGGGTAAAAGTGAACTAACAAAGTATGCAGAGAAACAGATGGACTTCAGTCTGTAACTGTAGATGGTTATAATGTTAAAAAAAAAATAAAATAGACCTTTTTAATGTTATGTGATCGGTGTACAATGATAGACTAACTACTGTAAATGAACTACATTAGTTGATAGAAGAATTGTTTAATATTAAATGGGTAGAGAAGGCAGTACTGTACAATTTAGTGACAAAAAGCTTTACAACCTATATCTAATAAAATAAAAAAAGCAAAGTAGAAGAAAAGACTGGAAACAAACAAAACAATTTTCACCTTAATTTCCTCCGAACTTAAAACACCATTACGCTGACCTACATGTCTCAGATCATCAACTACATTTCGGCTAAGGGGGGAACTGTTTTGGATTTTTAGCCAAATTATCACGTTAAAGAAAGAATAATGTATTTTAGTGAAAAATTTATTTAGGCATCAATAAACCGAGTTCATGACCAGCGAGGTGTAGGACTGTTCCCCGTTAGGAAGACACACTCCAAACTGAGTGGTATGAGGAAAACAGGAAAACCGACAAGATGGCTACCAAAGAAGCCCACAAATTTTCTCCGTTAAAAATTACAGTAACCATTGTATTATCTTAGTTCAATGTCGTTTCAATGCATTATGGTCCTTTTCTTCATAACAAGCATTACAATTACTAGTAGTATGCTGGTGTCTCTGTAGCTAGCTAGCTAAATTTCCCGTTCCACCTTAAATGTTGCAGCAGTTCTGGCGCTTCAGTCGTCAGAACTGCTGCACTATTTAACGTGAAACTGGAGAATTCGAGTGAGAAGCTGGCGAATATCTGACTTCAGCTTCATATCACTGAAGAATTAGGGGTGGGAGATACTAAATAGTTGTCACACCCCCCTCTTTGAAGGCATATGATGCCCTAAATGAACTAAAGACCAGCAGCGGGGTTGCTGAACTTTACTGCTCCTCTGCTGTCACTGCAGACTGGCAGGGTCGCCTATAGAGCAGCGCTAGTAGCCTGTTAATGAAGTAAGCTAATGTTCTTCTTTATTTGAGGGTCCCATTCTTAGAGGAAGATTTCAACCACTACGCAACGAGACATTCAACAACAAGGGGTAGGCGGTAAAAATAAGACATGGGATTAAGACAAAGTTCCTGTCCAGGACTCAGCTTTACACAGCAGACAGAATACAGGAGGGAAAATGTCCTCAGCCTAGATCATGGCTCTTATTGTTAGCTAGTCTGCTAGGCTCACTCACTAGCTATAATCAGAACATTCTCTACTACAATCGCCACATTGTAAAACCTAGCCCCGCCCTTCAAAATAAAGGTCCCATGTTGACCTGAGCATAACAAATGGCAACATTTCCTATGAATTAAATAGGCTGAAATAAGCATAAACAATATTTTTCTTTTTTTAAACTAAACAGATGCAGACATGATTGACGTCGGCATATTTTATTTTAAAAAATCAATTCTGGGATCAATAAAGAGCATTTAAGACCGGCAAGATATAGTACTGTTCCCTGTTGTGCCTCATTAGGGCCACTAGAGGGCAGTAAAACATCATGTTTGAATTAGGCTCTGTTCTCTTGCCCAGGGTTAAACGGAGACACCAGTATCTGTTTCTTTTAACTTTCTTTTCTTATCAGAAGTTGCACCTCATGTTAGTTTCTTTTAGCAGCTGTATAAACTTGCGTATTATCATATGCATCACTCTCCTGAGTCCTTGCCCTGTGTTGTCCTGTGTAGGCTGTTAAAATCTCGGCAGAAACAGGAGTGGGTGGATCCTGCAGCAGGCAAGTCTAGATATAGTGTTTGCTCCCACAGTAAGTTAAGCCTCTACTTTTGCTTTGAACTGCTACATCTGACTCACCCACGGTGGTGATATACGCTGCCTATCAAAAGTCCGAGGATGCTTTGCCTTTTTGGAAATTTCCAAATAATGTTTCTTTTCAGTTCAGTAAGTAATCTGTGCAAAGGTTTTGTTAGTGCTGAACAGCTGTGTGCTCATGCTGTGGGTATATTTATTATCTCTCAGCTTCATGTTCATCAGTGTGTCTTCTTTGGCATGAAGAGCAGGTTTTGTGTAAATAATGATGCAAAATTTGACTGATGTTAGAAGCACATATTGAAACTCAAAGGTGGATTAAACACCTAAAATGTGTGAGTGCTAACATCACAACAAGGGGGTAAATTGGTCACGGCCTGGGCTTTACTCCCAACTAGTGTGTGAAATACCCACTGGTATTTGGGGGGTGGGGGGTGGCTGGCTACTCCAGCGTTGAGTAGATGCTAACTCCCTTGCTAAATAGACGCTTTCCATCTGCAGTGGTGACAAAATGTAGGCTTATTTTTCTTTTGGAAACTCACCATTTCCTGAGTGAAGCAGGCTAAACAATGACCTTTCCCTAAATGTGCATTTTTTTCACTAACAAACAGCATAATGTCGTTTTCAGGGACCCTCAGAACTTTAATTGAGACATTCAGTGGGTCCGAGAGGTTAATTAAGGGGTCCCAGATCCATCAGGACCCCTTGGTTTGGGACACACCTTGGTCCCAACCTTGCACTGTCACTAAAAAGCTAAGTTAAAAAGCTAGGTGGTCCCAAACCTTTGCCTCACATTTATGCCACTGAAACCCAGTTGGCAGGAAATTAGTTTTTAAAAAACTGCCCATGCTGTAAAAAGTGGACATTGGTTCCACATGAATAAAATATACTACATCAACTCAGTTCTTACCAAAAGTGTGTAAACTGAAAGAAGAAATGTGTCGATGCATCATATTTTATTCATGTGGAACAGTTGTACACATTTGAACCAAATAAAGGCGGTGCAGTTTTTTTCAATGCACCTGCAGTGTGGAATTCCAATGCACTGAAACTTTATTCTTATCCTACATTGCAGATTAAAGTCTAATACATGTTGATGTTTATCTCAAAAAAACTAAGACTTTAAATTATGTGTTTGCATATCTACTGATCCTTCTATGAACAACTATTCACTGTCTTAACTAAACAAGTTAAAGGTTGAAGTACAGTTTACTTCCCCACCACCTTACATGTCTGTAGTATGTATTGTTTATTAATCATTATTGCTGTAGCAACATTGGCTATCATGATACCACAGAAGACGTCAGTAAGCAAATATGTCCTTTAATTGACTCTTTTACTGTGTTGTGTGAGCATCCTGACCAATCAGAGGTGTTTCTGTGGACATTGTGGTGAATTAAAGCTTTTGCAGGAATCAAGTGTTAAAAATAAATAAATAAATAAATGAATAAATAAATAAATTAAATTAAATAAATGCAGGCTGGTCTTTAATCATGTCCTATCAAGGTTTTGACAATGTATTGTAGTGTATTGCAAAGCATAAACCTAATATAGATAATAATATAGAGCAAAATACTCACAATATGGTATTTCGGGCATATTATACAGCCTAAGGCTGGATAATATGGCAAAAATATAACATGATACTTACCTCACCAATGCATAGCCTACTTCATAATACATTTTATATATGAAAATAATTTTTCAGAAGTTTTTAATCAAGTTGGTATAAACAAAAAGCACCATCAGAACAACAGTGGTCTATCTGTCTAAGATCTCTGTGTACAGGGATACACTATATGGCCAAAAGTATGTGGACACCTGACCTTCACATCTGTATGAGCTTGTTGGACATCTCCACTCCAAAACCATGGGCGATAATTTGGAGTTACCACATTATTTTGGAGTGTGTGGGAATTTTTATTGCCCATTCAGTCAAAAGAGCATTTGTAAGGTCAGATGATGGCACTGATTCCAGTTCATCCCAGAGGTGTTCAGTGGAGTTGAGGTCAGGGCTCTGTGCAGACCTCTGGAGTTCTTCCACACCAAACTCATCAAACCAAGTCTTTATGGAGCTTACTTTGTGCACAGGGGCACAGTCATGGTAGAACAGGAAAGGGCCTTCCCTAAACTGTTCGAACAAAGTTGGAAGCATATAATTGTCTAAAAGGTCTTTGTATCCTGTAGCATTTACCTTACACTTCACCAGAACTAAGGGGCCCAAAGCCTGAAAAACAGTCCCAGATCATTATCCCTCCTCCACCAAACTTTACTGCTGGCACTATGCATTCCAGTAGGTAGCGCTCTTCTGGCATCTGCCAAATCCAGATTAGTCCATCAGACTGCTAGATAGTGACATGATTCATCAGTCCAGAGAACACATTTCCACTGATCGACATTCCAGTTGCAGCGTGCTTTACACCTCTCCAGCCGACGCTTGGCATTGTCCATAGTTGTTATAGCCTCATGTTCAGCTCCTCGGCCATGGAAACCCATGTCATGATGCTTCTGAC